TACTCTGTATCTAATAATCAGAATATGGATGGATGGAAGGGTGGATGACCCACAGTCAGTGATTTTTGAAGGAAATCACTGAATATCTTTGAAGGCCACCATATTTAAACATTAGATAGTTTACTCACCTTTGCCACAAAAAGAATCAAACAAGCTGTTTAAGGAAAACACACTGTTAGCTTCCAACCTTTCACTCCCAGATTCAGTTGGAATAAAACCCACAGAGGATTTGAGGCTTTTGCAAACTAACAAACTCATGTTAGGAAATGTAGACTTAATGGAGGTCTGGATTAGTCACTAAGTTTGCTCAAACACTGTTGTATCACCACTGGCTGCCAGCAATACAACATGATCAGTCACTGTGGAGTTCCAGTTAGTTTCAGCTTTCACCCTGTTACATACTGATTTGCTCTGGTATTCAAAAACAACTGAAACAAATAAGTGTTGGCTGTTTGTTTTCTTACCATTCCATTGTTTGACTCGGTTCAAAACCAGGTTCTGTTTCAGACCTGAGAAAAGGAACAGTCAGTACTTCACAACGGGTCAAGGAGGATAGAGGATAGACACACAGATTCCTCCATCAAGCAAATTACCATTGACCGGATGACTGAAAATATGTCATTTGGAGTTAAACAGGACGTCAGAAAAATGAAAGTCTTTGTCTATAAAGATTAGCTATGAATTATGGGTCTTAGAACCGGTCAGCTGCTGGCCTAAACAGGAGCGAGACAACAAAGCAGTCAGGAAAGCAAGATGATATCACTATGTGTGTTCTTACAGTATATTCTGTCTTCAAGAAATAGTTGACTGACTGATACAAAAATTTTATATTGAAATGGAAAGATGCACTTTAAAGGATGAAAGCATTTGAAAATGGAAGCACATTTTCACTGACAGTTGTATATGAAATAATGTATTCTCAAGTGTCCATTGAAAGACAGAAGGAGTTTTCCTTTGGTGTTTGAATGGACACACATGAATATTTTGCTATATTAGCTTATAGTAGTTGTCTTGGTCTGGATCTCAAAAGTTAACAAATCTCACAGGTTTTCTAGAACAGTCAGTTTTTCAAATTACATCCACGTTATTTTTTGTCTGACAATAAAATTAGTTTAGCTTAATAAATCTGATATCAATATCAGAAGTCAGCAACAAAACCTTCAGTTCAGATTAGTTCAAGAACTATGAGCCATCTTGAAGAATTTCAGCCAGCAAAACGGCTCCAGCTTTGGGCCTACAGGTATGAGTATTATTCTTCTACAGAATCGTACACAAAATATTTCATGGGTCATAAAGTTTCTCCAGATCCACAAAAGGATAACTGATAACTGAACTTCTAGAAATTAAGGAAATTAAGGTCCCCTTTGCCTTTGCTTGCTGACTGCATGTTTGAGGACTGAACATTTTGGATACACATTGCAAGTATCTCAGGATGTTGTTACAAATGAGGGAAGAAGGGAGCAGGAGGTCGACAGGCGGATTGGCACAGCGTCTGCAGTGAAGCGGCGCTGTACCGGTCTGTCATGGTGAAGAGAGAACTCAGTCAAAAAGCTATACTCTTGATTTACCAGTGGATCTACGTTCCTACTCTCATCTATTGTCATCAGCTTTGGGCCGAAAGAACGAGATCTCAAATAGAAGTGGTCTAAATGGGTTTTCTCCGTAGGGTGTCTGGGCTCTCCCTTAGAGATAGGGTGAGAGGCTCGGTCATCCAGGAGGGACTCAGAGTAGAGCCGCTGCTCCTCCCCATCGAGAGGAGCCAGTTGAGGCTCGGGCGTCTGGGTAGGATGAGGTGTTCTGGTCACATCCCATTGGGGGAGGACCTGGGGACTCATGACATGCTGGAGGGACAATGTTTGTCCGTTGGCCTAAGAACAAGAAAAGGATAAACATATACAAGTTGTTCATTAGCCAAACAAAGACTGATGAACTGTGCAGGTCTAGGGACAGTAGCTGCATTTCCATCCCAAATGGAAATGCTGTAAATTTTTGCCAATATTCCTCTAATGTCAAAAACACAATTTCACAACTGTGGTCTTTCCTTTAAGAAGTTAAGTCTTTCAATAAGAAATGCAATTAAATTAACGTGAATAAGTTTGTGTATGTGATAAGTCAAAATCATATAACACTGTAAATTAGTCACTTAAAAAGTATTAAACCTCCATCGTTCATTAATCATAGTATCTGTTGAATTATTGAGTGCAAATTTGAAGCTTACCAAGGTTTGCATTACAAACCTTGGTCAAATAAGAGAACACGCCGTATCTGGACTTCCTGGTCTCATGACACAAGTCACTGAAACACAGTTTTGTTATTTGCGTGTCATTTCACACTTAAAGAAACTCAAGAAGCTGTGACGTTTATCCCAAGTGATTACTGTTTGATATGACTAACTAAAACCACATGCAACAGGCAGAATGAGGGAACATCTGATGGAGCATAGTGTCCCACAAATGTAGCAAGGACTATAGTGTTCTCTGTTTTCAATTAAGTTTGTCTTTGCTTCAGTGTGTATAAACCCCACTGCTAGAAACCATCTGTTGCTGCATTAGTAACACTCTGTCCCTTTAGTATAGATGACAACCACACATCACACTTTTCCGATTTATTCATCAAAATCACAATCTAAAGAGCAGTAAATAGTATCCAAAGAAGAGAGTGTTTTATCTCACTAAAATCAGATCCTGTGAAACCATCACTTTGGTTTGTACATGTTGTGCTGCTGCCGACAATAACAACAAGGATCCATGCATCTAGTTCGCCCATGTCCCTAATGGGGTCAGGAGGGGTTCTGGTGCCTCTCCAGCAAATGTTTTGCTCTCCTTCTTCCTGTACAGGTCACCACAGAGACAGACAGAACAAACAACCACACACACACACACCTCAGGAGAATTTAGGGGAACAAATTCACCTGACACTGATGTTTCTGGTCTGGGAAGAAGCCGGAGAACCCAGAGAGAAGCCACCATGCACAGGGATTACATGCTAACTCCATGCAGAAAGACCTTGGGCTGGGAATCGACCCCAGAACCTTCTTTCTGCAAGGCAACAGTGAACCTCCACTGTGCAGCCCATAACAAGATGTTCTGTCAGTTACATAATACAATTTTAAAGGTAAATATTAATTCAATACAATTCAATTCAAAAATAATTCCAAAGGAAAAACCAATGTTGTAACTTGAAGTTCTTCAAATTGTTGTTGCAGAGGCTGTGAGCAGCCACTGGGTTCTTACTGGTTCAGTTCACTGGTTCACCTAGACAAAGTCAAGTCAGCTGATTCAGATTCCATCAATCTGATCCTCCTTTTGCTTGAAACCTTTGATCTTCTTCATGCCAGACCACACATCTTTGATATTGTTCCCTTACAATTTGCTCTCCTTCTTCTTCCTGTGCATCTTCTTGCTGCCTCCATGCACTCTTTAATAATTATGTGTCTCCCTCCCTGAAAGCTCTTTTTAACAATTCCTTGGGGCGATAGTGGAGGCAGTGATAGGAGTTTGTCATTCAATCAGAGGTTGTCGGTTTGATTCCTGCTCTATCAGCCTCTGTTGTCGTATCCTTGAACAAGACATGTCACACACCTTGCCTGCCCCACACAGCCCTGCCTTCTGTTCAGTAGTTAGTTCACTGCTGATCCCAGGTTTGTTATTGGCAAAAGATGGTGTTGAACACACACATACACGCACACACACACACACCCACCCACACCAAACACACACACACACACACACACACACACACACACACACACACACACACACACTCAGTCATGGCACTGATGTCCTCTCCTTGTGGTTGCGCAATCCAATTTGTAACCTCACAACATTTCTGTTGTTTCATGTGATCACTTTCTCACAGTTCTGTTCTGAACAAAAGTTTTATACTCGGGGCAGAAGAACACAAGGAATCACTTCTACGTCAAATCATACAAAATGTTTAGTGTTTTTTCAGCAGCATAATAAATAATAAATAAATAATAAATCCTTTGCTGACATTTTCTAGATTTTATGACCTCGGAATCAATCCTTTTTTTTGCCCCAAGGTAACAAATGAATGTCTTCGTTCTGAAGTTTAAAGAAATAATTTAGCAATGAATTGGTCCAAAATGAAATAGCGCCAGATAAATGGTACCAGACCATATCTGATGGTCAATACTGCATTTCTTTACTTTACGATCATAATGACGTTTTGTTTTGATGTTTTGTTTTGGTGTTTTGTTTTGGTGTTTTGTTTTGACGTTTTGTTTGACGTTTTGTTTTGACGTTTTGTTTTGGTGTTTTGTTTTGATGTTTTGTTTTGACGTTTTGTTTTGTTGTTTTGTTTTGTTGTTTTGTTTTGTTGTTTTGTTTTGGTGTTTTGTTTTGGTGTTTTTTTCTGGTGTTTTGGTGTTTTGTTTTGATGTTTTGTTTTGTTGTTTTGTTTTGATGTTTTGTTTTGGTGTTTTGTTTTGATGTTTTGTTTTGATGTTTTGTTTTGGTGTTTTGTTTTGTTGTTTTGTTTTGATGTTTTGTTTTGTTGTTTTGTTTTGATGTTTTGTTTTGGTGTTTTGTTTTGATGTTTTGTTTTGACCTTTTGTTTTGACGTTTTGTTTTGATGTTGTCTTTGGACATTTTGTTTTGATATTTTGTTTTGACGTTTTGTTTTGATATTTTCTTTTGACGTTTTGTTTTGATGTTTTGTTTTAACGTTTTGTTTTGATGTTTTGTTTTGGTGTTTTGTTTTGGTGTTTTGTTTTGATGTTTTGTTTTGGTGTTTTGTTTTGATGTTTTGTTTTAACGTTTTGTTTTTATGTTTTGTTTTGATGTTTTTATTTGGTGTTTTGTTTTGATGTTTTGTTTGACGTTTTGTTTTGATATTTTGTTTTGACGTTTTGTTTTGATGCAGGGCAGGAAAAAAAGTGCGGAAATGCCACAGTGTTACGCGGTATTGCGTGGGGGCGGAACTACAGAGATGTTATAGTGTTGGATCGGAAAGCCGGACTCATTTCAGCACTGCGCCGCGTTACGTCACTCCGGCTTCCACAGGCTGCAGGATGGGGTTGCTGTCAGTGCTGATTCCTCTCCTCAGGTTGTATCTGTGTGGGATCAAAGTTCTGCTCTACCAAATGTTCAACCGAACCTTCGCGATGCCAGGTCAGAACCAGACTCTGTTTCTCTTCCCCGTTTGAACTGCAACAGGAAATGAAATGAACTTGTATTGCTGTTTGACTGTTGTAGATGTTTGAGTTCTCTGTTTGTGATTTTGTGTGTTGAGAACAAATGATCCTGAACAGCTGAGTTCCTAATCCTGACCCTTGACCCCTCGCCCTCAGGACCTGCAGTAATAAAAACTCGAACTGCCACTGATGTGGCAATAAGAATGATTCCTGCTGTACATCAACATTAATATACTTTAAAATATAAATGTATATGTTCTGTAAGGAACACTTTAATGAATCAGACTAAAATCGTTTTCATAGTAATAAGACTGGAGAATTTTGATTTCATTATTTGAATTTGGATTAAGAGAAAGTTCTTGCGTGTCCCGATGGAAACAAAGAAAGAACTGTTTCCTTTATCCCTACAAATCTTCCCAAGAATGTCAGAGCTGAATATGAATGGGGGAATTTTCCAACCGTTTTACTGCCGTGTCAATGGGATAAAGATTTTAGTTTGATTCATGTTTTTGAGCTTGACTGTATACACACAGATGATAAAACAAAGGGTTAAATGTTCTGTTGTGAAGTTACAGAACATGTGATCCCACCATGCAGTCTTCTTAACTGGTTTGACCTTTCTTAAAGTTTTAATCAACTATAGAAATAGTAAGACGATCAAAACCACTGGATCAACATCTGATCCATTCGTGTTCCTGATACATTTCACAATCAGATGGAACAAGTGTGACATGATGCAACAAACACAAAGACAAGTCGGCTGGCTTCTTACAAACTGATTTACCCATCAGTGGTCGGTTCCGTTTTCTGTTCTGTCCAACCTGGAGCTGCTGGTGTCCAGTTGGTTTTTATAAATCTAGATCACATTTTCTTTTGTCATCTTAACTTTGGAGGGTGAGTGAGAAATTCAGAGTTTCATCCCAATAAAACCCTGAACAGAAAAAAACCTAAACAGTTTGCTGCACCTGAGATTTAACTCCATGTTTTAATCTAGAAATGAATGGCTTCTAATCACGTTCTTTTCTTAGCCTTACCAAAGCAAAAGGGAAGGGTTGCCATAGTGACTGGAGCTACCAGAGGAATGGGGTTTGAGACTGCAAGACACCTGGCAAACCTGGGCATGCATGTGATCATAGGTAGGCTGCTGCCTCACCAATGAGATGCTTCTTTTGTCAGATCTATAAACTATAACGACTTATGATCTATAAGCCATAATGACTTATGATCTATAAGCCATAACAACTTATGATCTATAAACCACTATGAAAAAGTCACTATAACTTATAGATCTAGAAGTCATTATAACTTATAGATCTAGAAGTCACAGTGACTAATTCTTGTAAAGCAGAAGCAAGGAGATGACAGAAAATGTGTGATTTTTTTTGTGACATTTGTTCTTAAGTTATTTTTTAGTTGAAGTCTTGTCATAAATGCGATCAGTTTGATGCCTCAGACAGAAGGGTTTAGTTAAAGTAAACCACATACTGGACATCAGCCCACCAAGCCCCTTTATGATCTCTATGATCTCCAGCTGGGAACGAGCCAGAAGAGGGCGCTGCAGCTGTCAGGAAGATAAATGAAGAATGCAATGAAGGAGAAGGTAATCAATTACTAATTTTAATGATAAGCATACAAAGACAGTCAAGTGGTGGACATTCATTCTGCGTGTCAGAATGAATGTCCTACAATATTAATAACAATGTAATTAATCATGATGTTCACATGACATAACTGACACGAGGTGTAACTACTGATATCTTAGCAAACCAATAGAAGATAGAAATGCCTTTTCTGTGAATTGAAACTCAAGACTCCAAAACCTAACCTGGGCAAACTTTAAGAACAAGTTTTGAAAATGAAAACAAGCGTGAACGGGTGTGATCTGTGGGACTGCATTTAACTCAGGCAGCTTGTGGGCTAACCCACAGGAGGAGGAGAGGAGGAACATTCAGAGGGAAGTGGTTGCCAGACCCAGCTGAAATGCTCTGGTTGAGCTCGGCCCCGGGCCACAGCTGGATGATGCACTGACAAGTACTTTGATGCATGCCATGGAAAAATCATGGTCTTCTTGATAAATGCAGAACCACTGCATTTTTTCTGAGCCACTACTTGAAGATCCCCACAGTGGATCAGACATTCTGCTTGCTTAATAATTCTTTTGCCAGTGATTGGGATTTTAGCCCAAAATGTTGTACAGAGAGCTCAGCAGTGTTCTGTCAGAACTATGGTACTGAAACATTTCTTTTCTGCTTCCAGCTGAGTTTGTCTTTGTGGACCTGACCTCCCTGAAATCAGTCAGGCAGTTTGTCCAGAAGTTCAGAGACAGATCTCTGCCTCTGCATGTTCTCATTAACAATGGTAGGCTCCACACATCTTTCCTCAGATGGTCACAGTTAATGACAGCAGGCGCTTTGTGGTCTGACTAATGACAGCCTGCGCCTTTCTGACATGTTGTGCCTTGATGCAGCTGGAACCATGCTGGTTCCTGAGAGACGGACAGAGGACGGCTTTGAATTCCACTTCTGCCTGAACTACTTGAGCCACTTCCTGCTGACCAACATGCTGCTGGACCTGCTGAAGACGTCTGGAAGGAAGGGTCGCTGCTCCAGAATTATCAACATGGCCTCTGCCACACACTACGTAGGAGAAATAAACCTAGACGACCTGAACAAGAGGTACACTGAAACCACCATAGACTCCATGAACAGTAAAATATTTGTTGTACATAATCTTGTTTATTACTCCGTTCCCAGCAGAGCTGTCTACAGCTCCCATGGTGCCTACTGCCAAAGCAAGTTGGCCCTGGTCCTCTTCACCTACTATCTTCAAGAGCAGCTGACGTCTGGGGGATTCTCTGTCACTGTCAATGCTGTGGACCCTGGGATGGTGGACACAGCACTGTACGATAACCTCTGGACATTAGCACAGATGATGAAGAAACCAGTGGCCAGTGTTCTGTTCAGGGTATGTCTTTAAAACCTTAATCTAACTTTGTAAAGACTAGTTTAGAACGGGTTGTACTGTTGTCCTCAGACTCCAGCAGAGGGAGCCTCCATATCGGTGTATGCTGCAGCTGCCTCTGAGATGGAAGGAGTGGGCAGCTGTTACCTGTACAATGGTCAGAAGACGCAGTCCTCTGATCTGTCCTACGACTCTGAGCTGCAGGCCAAGCTGTGGACAAAGAGCTGCGAGCTTGTGGGACTCCAGGCCTGATACCTTACGCAAACAGAGGGAGCCTGAGGCCTTCCTCTGATGCAGATGGGTTGGTCCAAACGGTTTTCCATGTGGATCTGCTTCCTTTGAGGATGTCTCCAACCACCACTCACTGAGAGTGTCTGTAATCAGAACTTTGACTATGTTGATGATGATAATAATAATAATAATGGAGGAACTGGGTTCCTGTCTAAGAAAGAAATTCAAATAATTGACTTGGAGGTCTCCCATGTCCGCAATGGTCCTCCTTTATTGACCCTTCGCAGCTATGTCATCCAATCACGTTGAGGCACTATGACGATTGTCGGAAATCACATCAGGAGCAACTTTGATTGTTTCCCAAATTGTTCTTGCCAATACAGACATGACTTCTAGTTGTTCAGAAGAAGACATTTTATTTATGTTGCACTTCTTCAGCAACCAGGCAGTTCAAAGTGTCCAGTCAAGTTCTGCAGAACCTGATTGTTCCCAGAAGAATGAATCAGGCTGTAAAGATGGTGGTATTTATGAAAGTTGGAAACGGCTAGCTTAGAAATCGGCCCATGCCTTCTCCCTCCTGACGTGTTTGTTGATTTGATCAATTGCCGACTTTGCCTGAAGTCATAGCACATGACTTATGCAACTATGTCGTAAAGGGCATTTCCCTTTAACAGTGTAAAATCTAGATTCTTATCAGTTTTTTTGGTACGTGGTTGGCTACATTATGTTTTTCCTTGATGGTTGCTAATGATTAGAAGGATACATTCTTTCCATAGTACAACATTTCATTGCATCTTACTAATACTGCTTAATTACAAAGTGTAAATGAACATTAATCTTCTTGCAGCAAGAAGATTAATGTCAAGCAACACTTGCTATCATCGCCATCTTGTTTCAAATCCATCAAAAGTTTGGTTTGGATCCTAATCTGAGCAGCATCTGTGACTATTGGACTGTGACATCAACTGAGTGATTTTTGATTTTTTTTGGACAATCTCTACAGGAGTCAATATACAGAGAAGTTATTTTGATATCCATCATGCCTAAGAGCACGGCATCTCATGCAAAGGGTCAAAAGATCATACTGAACTACTGCCAGCTTTAATCTCTGTGGTGATTTTATGCTCATGTTCTGTTCAATGTGACTCAAACAAATCCCACTAATTATGCAGAGAAATCAAATATGTACCTTTTTTTTCACAAGCCAGCAATTATGCAGCCTCATGATTTTAACTGACCTTACTTCCAGAGTGACTTGACCTTTGACTGTAAAACTCTTCAGTTACATACCACAGTGCTTCAGAAGCCTTTACAGCCTGATTTATTCTTCTGAGGACAAAGATCCTGTTGCCTTAAGATGATGTCTGCCACTTTGACACACATACTGTCATTTTGAATAAAGTTTGCAGACCATTATTTCCACATATGCCATCTGAATGTCTCAGCATTTCAGTTTGAACTTCAAGCCTGAAATAGTTTTTTTAATTGTATTGTAAATGGCCTTGCATTTGAATCCAGGATACAGAAAGCCTGTTTTTATGGTAAAGACTATTTAACTTAAAGTCAAAATAATTGAACTTTTAAAAACTGTAAGTTTCAAACTGTTTTAATGTTCTTCTTTTGTGTGTGTGTGGGCGTGTAAAAATGAAATATTGTAGCTTCATTCTGAGTTGTACTCTCAGGATCTCTCACTCGATGTCAGTGTAGGTCAGTATCACGTATTCCTCTAATAATCAATATTCACTTATTCATCAGAATGTGATCTTCTTCAGTCTCAGCACTGTCGTTCCACTGCTGTCCTACACTGACATCTAGGGGGGGATCCTGGGATTACAACTGAGAATGAAGCTGAAATATTTCATTTATTTTCATATATCATTTATAACAGCAACAAACTTAAAGAACTTTTAAAGAAGAAACACAACAGCAAAGTAGATGATTTGTTTTATCTTCAAATAATTTTTTTAAACCGTATAGATTTTCATCAAAACCTCTTCAGAGATAACTCATAAATTCTCACCCCATAAAGTAGATATTTTTATCTGTGCTCCCAAAAAGACACATTAAGCCCTTATAAGCATAATTGTAAAACATGTAAACATAAGCTTGAGAGGGCAGCAGAAACCTTAAATCCTTACTCAGAAACACCCTGAGCCTGAGGGCCAAATGTCTGATCCAGTTTGTCACAGGTGGCGTTAAAATGTCTACAATAGAGGAAGTCCTTTCTGCCGGAAAATATTGTGTTTTTGAAGGCTGGTTGTGGAAAGTTCCAGGTGAGTCGCTGGTATGTGGAATGAGAAGTCGGTGCAGTGGAGGGCGAGGCTGATCTGACATGACGCAGCATGTTGGTGAATAATGAATTTGTTCAAGTGGAGCTGTTAGCTCAGAGAAGGACACATTTTGTCTCACAACACCATAATGATGAGGAATCCAGCATAAAACAAAGTCCCCAGAACTTCTGACTGCAGTTTGCTGCAAACATGTGAAAGAATGTGTTCTGGTCTGAGGAGAACAAAATGGAACTTTCTGGCCCAAATGCAAAACATTGAAGTGGACAAAAACTAATCCTGCACATAGCTCTAGATACACTATAGTGAAACAAGGTGGTGGGGGAATCATGCTGCAGGAATGCTTAAAAAATTTTAAACTATGGTTATTTCACTACTTTCTGTCTGTACTTTTCCATGGAGGTTCAAATAAAAAATATTCTCATCTATTCACATCCAAAAGCCAGGCGAGAGGCACAGTGGCAAAACAACAAACTGCTGCTGCGCAAATAAGTTTGCTAGCTTACCAATGGGTGAGCAGTTGGCCAGCAAGCATCTTTCCTCTGCCCACATCGCCCAGAATGCACTGCGGTTCTAAATTGAAGTTCATTGAAATTATTGGAATATTCTGTTGAATGTATTTTCTGTTGATTTGTTTATCATGATTTATATTGTCAATGATTTATTGCCCAGCCCTAGCCAAACAGGACACTGTACATTAGCCAACACTGTGTCCTGTACCTTACAACTTTTTAAAACTAATTTCTGTAAACAAGCATTCTTAATTATGAGCCTCTCTAGACCTAAAGCATTAGCTGTGAACCAACTTTTCTTTGGCTGACCTAACTTTGGTCAGTTCAGGTTCAAAATGTGCAGGGGCACAGAAAAATCATGTTACCTAACGTGTCAGAGCTAATGAACCCTATGAAGTCCAGATTAGCCCCGATGCTCCTGCTCCAGGTTGCACACAGAGGCTGTCAGCTGAGGACGGATAAAAGGAAGCAGGCCAACTCAGAGCCGGGTCAGAATGTCACAGCGAGCTAATCTGGATTAGTTTTTTCAGCTTCTTATGGGTCACTTAAACTTTGGACTGTAAGCAAAACCAGTTAGGACAAAAAGTAAAATCCCCATTAAAATACCATCAGAAACTAGTTGATATAGAACTACAGGACTGAGTTTCATTTATGTATTCTGCTCTTCATAAAGTAAGACAAGTAGCTGATAGTTGTTTATTTAGTCAGGCTATCTGCTCTGTTGAAGTCTACAGTCAGTTGTCATAAAGAGTGGTGCTTCCTGCTTTTCACGCCTGGAAATATTACTATGCAGATGAATCAGATGATGAATCAGATGCAGATGATTTTGTTGTATGCAAGGAATAAATGGGAAGCCTACATTCAGCTTGCTGGCCGGCTGGGCAGCTGGCTGAAAAACACATCAGGGAGAGAGGGACACCACTGAAGGTAGTAATCAAAGAGTCCTGCTAATACGAATAACCCAAATCCATCAGAAGCATCATGTAGCAGACTTGGGCTCAACCTAGGAAATGGGTTTTAGGTCTGGACCTCGAGGGTTTCTCCTCTGATTCATCCTGCCCCTGTTTATCCCGGAAAGAAGTGCTGTGAACGAGCTGGGACGCCCTCTGGCGTATCTTCTGCAGGTTGGGCTTCATCCTGCTAAGCGAAGACCTCCTCCGGACAGGTTTGCTCCTGAGATGGTCCTCCCCGCCCATAAGATCGCTGTCTCCGAGGCTGAGCCGATGGATGGGTTTCAGGTTGTTCTGAAGGACTTTGGACAACCTCCAGCGTCCTCCAACCTGAGGCTCTGCACCTTTTGATTCAGCGAGCTCATTTGCTCCTATGATGTCTCTAATGTCCACACTCACGTTGGTGAGGTAGTGACAGGCCTTCCTCCCGCTGTAGTCCCTGATTTCCACGTCTGCGTTGTAAGCCCCCACCAGGAGCTTCAGCACCTCCATGTGGTTGTGGATGGCAGCTATGTGCAGCGGCGTGTAGCCCATGTTGGAGCGAACATCCACGCTAATGGGAAGGTTGTGATGTTTGGCGAAGTTGATGATCAGCGCGATCAGCTCTTGCTTGCCGTGCTTAGCAGCCCAGTGCAGGCAGGTGAAACCAGTGACAAAGTCCTTCTTCAGGACCAGGTTGGGTTCGCTGCTGAGAAGGGTGTGGAGGCTGTCCCACTCCGCATCCGATGCGCACATCATCCACTCGTGTTCCACAGGGTCCAGGGTCACGGAGGTCCTGTCCACATCCAGGCTGCCGGAACCCACCGAGGCAGCGTCACCGTCGCTCCTGGGGGTGAGGCAGACGGGGCTGCGGAGTTCTATACTCTTCCTCACTTCAGGAGAACTGTTCATCATCACCTGGATGAAGTGCCTCCGGCTGCCCGTGGGACTGCAGCTGTCCTCACTGCCAGACAAGCTGCTGCGTTCATCCTCCTTGTCCTCAGAGTCCTCCTTGGTGGACAGGAACTTCTGCTGAGAGGCAGGACCTTGTTGCTCTTCCTCTTTCAGGCCCTCAGGCGTCCAATCAGTGTGTAAGTCAGCTGCAGCTGCAGAACTCTCAGGCCCAGGCAGGATGAAGACAGATCCGTTCACAGGGAGCGGCGAAGCCTGAATCACTGTGATTTGTGGAATGGCAAGTTTCCCGACCTTCTCCTTGCTGAAGTCCTTCCTCTGCGTCCTGAAGCTCCCAGAGTTCCCCATGTGAGCTGAGCTGCTGGCCTCCTCATCCAGAACCCCAACAAAGTCCTGATGTCCACAGTCCTGCTCTGGTTTGACCCGCTGGTAGCTCTCTGCAGCGATAATATGCGGAACTGTCTTGCAGTCATTTCCGTAACCTGAGTCGCGCGCTGATTTCTGCTGTACCTGAGCCGTCGCGGCTGCGTCATCGCGGCTCACCTGGTCGTCAGGTGAGGGGGACGCAGCGCAGTAACGGAACTGTCTCTTCAGACAGACATGTTTGACTCCGCTGTCTGTCTTCACGAATGCCACGCTGTCCACACAAGACTTAAAGACGCTGCGGACAGCAGCCCTGCTGTGCGGCTCTTGAGGGAACGCGGCTTTAAAATGCTGCAGTAGCTCCGCGCTCGGGACGGCGCCTCCTCTCTGCCTCAGGAAGTCCGCTATGGAGTCCTGGCTGAAACCGCTGGCCATGAGGACCACGAACAGCCTGAGACCCGAATCACCCGAATCAACCCGAAGCTCCACGCAGCAGAGCAGAAAGCAGCATTTCGTCCCAGCGTTCTCCGCCTCCTAGCAACGGGACACTTCCGGTCCAGGCCTTATATGGTCAAAGCCAGTTTCTCAGTAACAAACTGAAAAACATTACTGTGAACTCATTACGAGGGCTGGTTTTTATCTTCGAAATAGTTTTAGTTTTACTAGAGAAATAATAGTAAAGCCTCCGAATATCTAGCAAAATCATCCCATCTTATTTATTCCATATTTGATTTGTTTTAGCTCTTAATAGTTTGTTTCCAAATGAATGATGAAGTGGGAAACATTTGATCTTCTAACCAAAACCTAGAAAATACGTTTTATTCTAAAGCTTGTCTAAAATGTTGATGACATCATCTTAGAATAATTATGATAGTTTTCACTTCATTTATGTCCTCAAACAGAAACGCTTTAATTTTGTGTAATGACTGAAAACATCCCAAACCAATCCAGGACAACTTCAATTATAAGAGAATTCATGTAGAAAATTTGTTTGTATACAATTTAAATCAAAATGATTCCATAAAATCAATAAAAAACACACACATTAAAAAACATAAGCTGAAGTTGCATATAGCCATATGACAAAATAACAGAACTAATTGAAATGAACATCTCAAAGTGTATCAAGGTAAAAAGATTGATTTAATATTTAGGAAGCTAAATGCTATCCAGGCTTTAATGTTTTAATAACATAAAGTCATTAAAGTCTGGACAGAGTATGTGCCTTTTATTTATTTATTCTCATATAGACCTCAGAGTTGCATACAAATGGAAAACAATTCCATATTTTCCTAGTTTAAAGCCAAGTGGGAGAAAATGCAAAAAAAGAGAAGGTGGCCTAGAACTGGAGAAGCATGTCAAAGTGGACATGAAGCTGAGCCTCATGCCAATTCAGTGGATAACTTCAGTGCTTGTAGCAGCTGTTTGTTGTGAGGAAACATGGCTGGTTGGTTGCTCTGTCACAACCAGCTATGCTTGCAGGTGGCATTAACCTGCAGACAGGGTGTGTTAGCATTCCTCCTCACAGACCTGTGAATCAGTCTTTAGAGGCAATAAGCCCAGCTGCTCCAGTTTCTCCACATGGGTGAAAAATATAATTTCCAACTTAGATGTTTTTCCAATTAGGCTTTCACAATGACTGGTCAGCATTTTATGGCTCATTGCCAACAATGAAATTATAACAAATTCTTTAAAAGAAATGAGGAGCAGATATCAACATGCGTTCTTCATTTATTAAAACTATTTTATCAGCCAGATGAGCTCTGGAAAACATTGCTTAAGATTTAAAATCTTTACTCATTCAAGCACAGCACTGTCTATGGTGCCAATTTATCTCAGCATTGTCTGGGAACTGTCACACAACTTTCCAGGCAAAGAGAAAACCCTGATGTGATGGAGGAGCCGTCATGAGCTACAACCTGTGTTAGCATACACACACCAACATGCACACACACACCAACATACACATACACACACGCACTAACATACACACACACCCCCACCAACACACACGGACCAACATACACACACACACCAACATACACACACATTAATTAATTCACATTAATCCTTATCTGTTTTCAAACATTTTCCCGGCTTTATTTTCAATTGGCTTGTTTCCGGATTGTGACGTACCGGGAGAGAGTTGCGTGATGTGGTGGCGTCATCAGAACCCTAACCCTAACGTAATGATGACGTTAGGGTCATCATTGTTTCTTGATTATATTTAACAGCATAATCAATGCTGTTAAATTGATTATTGTATTTTTTGGATTACAAGTTTATTTTTTTTTCTTATTGATTAATTAATTATTGCCATCTTTGTTCACTGAATAGATAATAAAATTGACTGAAGTGATCTCCCGCCTGGGGAAGTCTTTTTTTTTGTGGGTTGCCCAAGTCATAAGAGAACCCGTCACACCTGTTCGTAAAATGCATGTTATGTAGAGTAAAATAATGTAAGAATATTTTACTCATGTTTATAAACTTGCTTTCAAGATTTTTTCATCATTTCACCACTGAAATGACTAAATATTATGACCATGTTGTTCCAGACTGTGGTGCAGTCCTGGTTGGATTAGAGGTTACAGTGATTCACAGGAATTTAATCCTGTACAGATTGTAGTTCCTGGGAAAGGTAATTCCTGTCTCAGTATCTGAAACGAAACATTTTCAGTTGGATTTCTGCTTTATTTTAGGCACATAGTCATTGTGTGCTGCCATCTGATGATGAGAAACATACTACTGGCCTCAGTGGGTGGTTCCACAGCCATCAATGTCTGAAACTCAATGGTTGCAGTTGTGATGACAACATAATAAGTAAGTAGCAGATGTCCAGTGGAGAAAGGCGGATCACTGAGCCATCTGTTTCAGAGACTGCAGAGCAGGAAGTATGTCGTCCAGGTGATTCACACCTGCAACACACAGAGAACCATGTCAGCAGATCATGCAGAGGAAAGAAAACCAAGTAGTCACTTTAAGGTTTGGCTATAGTAAAGCAAAGTACTTTTATACCAAGAATCTTTAAGATTTCTGTCACAAGGTTGTGGAAAGCAGGAAAAAACTCATCATGTTGCTTCACTTTGATAATGATGCTGAAAAACAAAAGGAGACAACAGAAAAGCAGCTTCATGAAGACCAGCACACAACCTGTAACAAGAAACAACACGGTGCTGCTAGTGGAGCACTGAACCTGTCAATGTCAGCCTGTCCCAGTCCTGGATCCACCAAGACCAGCCTGGAGACCTGGTTCACAACTTCAGTAGGAGAAGCTTTGCTGTCTAACATCCAATGGAAAGGTTAGCGAGGCTTTACATAAAACATGGACAACTAAAGCAGATGTTTGAAAGTCACCTAGGTCCAGAACATTTTGGAGGTTCCTCATAGTGTTGGTCAACTCGCCCAGTCGGGTGTAGACCTCGTTCATTCGAGGGTAAACTCCGCTGAGGGAGGGAACGTCAAACAGTTTCTGGAAGTGAGCCACCATGGAAGCCAAGGTGTATCGAGTGGGACTCCTGAGCTTCTGGCAGGACAATCATGAAGACTTCAGCACCAGGAACAAAAAGCTGAGTTCTAATCTCAGGTCTCAGAAATGTAAAGATTAACCTGCTTATCGTCAGAAGAGGCATTCTCCAGCAGCGCCTCCACCAGCAGCATCATGTCCTCCACCTTAAGTGCTTTTGCATCAACAGCACAGGGCTGCAGTGGCATCAATGTGGCACTAAGTTTATTCAGTCGGCAATGAAGATCCTGAACACAGGAACAGTCTGGTCAAAGCAGCTTCCAGCACTGAGTAAATACCGAGGCTGTCAGAGTATTTACCCTGAGCATGTGGAGCTGCTGGGACCACAGCTCCAGAGTGGGAAGGACAGCCTGGAATTCTGCTTCCTCCAATTCTCTGGGTCTGTGTTGATACTGGTGCAGCCTGGGATTGATAACGAGCGTGTTGATCTCAGTCAACAGCTGAAGAGCAGAAAAATTGGAACAAAGCGTTGACAGACAGGAAGTTACCACAAACTGAGCAGATCTCAGAGAATAGCTCATTTACGTGGTGATACTGGACCCACTGCCTGGAGGTTTTGGTCTGGTCCCTGCTGTTCCCAGTGATGTCACTTCTACATCTAATCAGCACAAATAAAGCAAATTGCTTTAAAACAAAACTATTTCCTGCTTCAGTACTGAGCTCTAGATAAATCCCTCTTCAGTCAAACACATTTTGAATCAATCAGCTGTTGCAGTGGAAAGTAAATTATTGATGACATTTGCAGATTCTTCCATGGAGCTTATTTAATACATGTAAAAGAAAATGTATCTTGGAAAGCTGAAATACCTAAGAGCAATACTGATAATAAACATGCTATTGGTTGGTGTTTACATAGCGGCTAATCCAGAAGCGTTGTTTATTTTCTTTGGTACTGATTGGCCGATAACGAAGCATAAGTGTTAGCTGCTGTCAAGCCAAGGTGGCTTACGCTTTGCATATTAAGTATTAATATGCAAAGTTGTGTGTATTAGTGTTTTTATTTGTTGTTTGAACTATTGAAATAGATATTCATAAATGTGATTCCTAGCCTCTGTGAATACTATTACCTTTACATAACCTTTTTGACCAATAAAAATATTATTCCACTCTATTCATAGATGTTCACTTTACCTCGTGTCTCTTTTCTTGGCCTAAACACACAGTCACATGAAGTCTAGTTCAAAACCATCTTTGGTGACAAACACACCTTGTGTCCAGTTCTGTCTTGAGCCGTTCCACCTCTTCCTCCAACTCTTGTATGCGAGAGCTGCTTTCATTCTGCTGATCCTGATATGTCTGGACACAAGCTGAGGAATCAGACCTGCATTAACAACCTGAACAACAGGAACGGCTTAGGGAATCACCTTGAGCATGGTTTTGAAAGACGGGGAGACAGAGGCGGAGGTCCTCTTAGTAGCTTGATCCAAATGTTTGGACTCTTGTAATCGACTCTGTCGAGCCAGTCGCTGTTCCTCTTCTTTGACAGTCAAATACAGTTTCTTCCTGAGCTGGGCTGTTTCTTCCTCCAGATTGGCCACCTTCTTTTCCAGCAACAGATACCTCCTCTAAAAACAAACAGGTGTCATCCGAACTACCAATTGTCACAGCTGAGTAAATGAAAAGAAGACTTTGGACATCTCAGTATACCAGCTGCATCAATTAACCACATGATAAATTAAAACAAGCTCAATAATTTCAATTTTCATGATTTATCCTTTTTCTCTTTTGTCTGTCTTTCTACCAAAACTGGATAACAAAGTCTTAACCAGCCTTTTTTGAAGCACGAGTTTGTTTGCAAAGACTTTATAATTCATTTCATTTGTTGTTTCTTTTGTTTTATTTATTTTGGACATTTGAAAAGACTTCAAGTTTCAGTGTTAAATGTTGATTAGAATTTAAAGTTTATCTTCAAAAGGGATTATTGCATTATTGTGCTATTGCAATAATATCACTTCAAAATGGCCTCAAAACAAAACAAATATTATCGTTTATCGTAAAAACATCTGTGAGTAAGTTAACGTCCAGCAAAATGTTTTATTGGGACAGGCCTAATTCTGTGCCTCCATTTTTTCTTGCCAACAGTCAACATATATGTGCCAAAGAAGAAGAAAAACTCAGTAAACCACCTTAGCCTCTTTGTTTTCCTTCTGCAGCTGCTGGGTGTGGCTGTGCTGCTGGACCGCCTTCCCCAGGCAGCGTTCCTCCAGCTGCTGAACTCTGCTCTTCACCTCATCCAGCAGACCCTGCAGCTCAGTGGCTCTTTGGGACTGCTGAGCTGCATGACTCATGTGCTTCTGTACCTCCTCTCTAACAACACACACACAGAAAAGTGTCACTTAGTTTACTCTGTAATGTCCCCATATCTTGATTAAATGGTTTTAATGAAGAGGAAATTAAATATTTGACAGATTATTAGAGTGAGAGATGGTTGCATTGAAGGTTGCAGAGTATATTGCTGATTTCCATGGTCACCGCTCAATGCCCATCAGATGCTGATGAGATTGGATGACAAGAAGACAGGTGGTCCACACAGAACCAGATCCATTATTAAAGAGCCAGAGCTTGGTAGAACACTACCTGCAGGATGAAATCTGCCAACCAAACTGATGGTTTCAGTTACTTCATATTGTAGATTAAATACTGGAGAAGACATGGAGTTGCAAAAATGTTTTTTGTGCCCAGCAAGGTATTGCTATCAAATTTAAGGCATAACATAGAAAAAATGCAGCTGATTAAACACAAATTCTACTTATTGGAGTTTAAAGCTGTGCTTTCTCACAAGTCCTGCCAGAAATTGCATATATAATGCTTAATAAGGCTAGAACATCTGCACAACTTGTTTCACTGTGTGTTTGAGAGCATCTGTTCAAACATGGTGTGAATCTCTGCAGCTCCTCCAGTTACTGGTGCTCTTCTGGTTAAATTCAAAAATACCTGATTTATCTGAAAGGAAAATGAAATGTTACCTCAACTCATATTCAAGTGTCTTCAAAGAGTTGTTATGAATGCAGTGAGAAAAGATCCATGACTGGTACTGACTCCAGTACCAGTCAGTCAACAAATCTCAAGAACTGAAGACTGAAGATGTCTTTTCTGGCTCAGCTAGGATTTTGTCTTGTGGTTGAGATGTTATTTGAGCTTTTGAGATTCTAATACGTGGCTCCCAGTTGTAAAAAAAAAACAAAACAAAAAAACCGATGTTGCCATGCTTATACAGAATAATAACTGTCCTAAAGTCAAAAAAAGACTTGTAAAACACCAGAAGGAATTATTTTTATAAATTGTCCAAACATTCAGTGTTTGAACAATTCACAAATATCATCGGAACAAATTGTACTCAGACATGCTGCTGCCATGAGCGGTACAGTTAGTAGTGAATTACCAACATGGTGATTTGAATAACAGCCGTACTTGAGCTGGTTGTTAGACTTGACGAGCTCCTGGATGAGCGTCTGTCTCCTCTCAGAGTCCATCAGCATCATCCTCAGAGTCATCCTCAACTCATTCGCTGACTTCTTGTCCAACAGGACCAAATCTGTGGCACACATACAGATCCCATCATCAAGAAATGTGCAAAAAGAAAAACCACAGCACACATTGCAGCTGTGAAACATTCAATTCAGAAACAAGTCTCACCTGTGAGGTTCCTATTCTCCACAGGGTCTGCAAAGAACACAGGCTTAAAGCCGTGATGCTGCAGCAGTTTATTCACGTCATCCCACTCTACCTGCTCCTGCTGCAACACACAGCCACAGTCAGCATCAGTCAAACCTGCTGCACATACATAGTGAAGATTGAAGTGGTACCTGAAACTGCCCATAGGTCCATAGATAAACATAAGTCTTATTTGTAAAGCATGGAAAATGCGTTGTTCTGGATTCTGTAGCCATTCTGAAGCAGCATGCAGCTGTTACCAGTTTGACTCCTGGATAAATGTGTAAAGATGTTTCAATGTGTAAAGGAGCTGACCCTCCTGTCAGTGATCCTATCTCTGAGATGGAGGAAAGGTGATCCTTCACCCACACACACACTCACCCATACACACACGCACACACACACTGAAAGGTGAGTGAATCTTACCGGCTTCATCCTCTTTACATTCCAGCTGGAAACACAGCAGAAGCAGCGGGGTCAACACTCAGCCGTCTTTTAGCGTGATGCCTTCGAGTGTAAAGAGTACAGAGCGGATTTTACATGGAGCCACTCTAGAAGAAAAACTCTTGGAATGAGACTAATTCTAAACAGTCAGTTTACGTAACACCTGATACCATTGAATTATAAGCTGAATTTTAAGGTCGTTCCTTTAATGAGCTTTTTACTAATATATTTAAAGTTTTAACCGTCTTAAAAGAGAAACGGACCTTAAAGGCGACGCCTTCAAGCTCTGGCTCTGGTGAGTTCAGGTAGCTAAAGCTAAAGGGAAACCGAACCGAATAGCATCTGTAACTAACAATGAAACAACACATTCGGTACAATAATGATAATAAACATTTAGGAATACAAAACGCCATAAATTACCTTGCCAACAATGTCCGTATAACTTGGTGCAAACAGCAGCGCGCTTCCGCAGTTCAAACTATGCGTCCTGACGCAATTATTGGAAACAAAGGACGTGAACCAATCCGCTGACGAATCAACAAAACAGCGCAGTACTGCCCAACGACCACAAGATGGCGATAACATGACAGTTAAACTAGTCCCAATGACGGATCATGGTGGGTTATTTTAAACACTTGTTCAATCATAGAACGAATATTATATCATATTATTTACAGAGATGAACTCCACTAGTTGATGTTACAGTGGAGGAAAACATCAAGGTGCTACAATAAAAGGATCTCCCTCCACATGATGTCTGATCTTTCTTGTCTCTAGCAGAGGAATCTCTTATGTCAGTATGGTGATATGAGGGATTGGAGTATCCATGGAGTCAGAAAGCAAAGGTCATTGTAATTTATTAATGGATAGATGAGAGCAAAGAGTCTGGCCACTCACTGTGTCCCTGCATGCATCATCTTCACTGAGCAGAAAATTAAAATGGAAATTTAAGCCTTCACAGTGTCAAGGATTCCTCTGACCTGTGTTGCATGATTTTATAATTTGTGATAACTGCTTACATAACCTTGATGCAGCCTGGAACATCCAACTTACTGACACTTCAACCAGAACCATTAAATAGTCCACATTTATATTCGCCCCCCTTAGTGATTGATGTGTAAAATTATCTACAAATTACATCTACAGACTGAACGGTTTTGTCCTTCCTTCATTAAAAAAAAATGCTCTCGTTCAATTAGATTGGATGGAGAACATCAGTTTCAAGTCCTTCCACAGACCCTCAATTAGATTTAGTCCTGGACTTTGATTAGGTCATTCTTATGCTTTTTAACACATTTAAGCCTTTGCACTGTTGTCATGTGATGTCCTGAAGCATAAATTATTCAATTCAATCCAAAAATACTTTATTAATCCCAAAGGAAAATCAAAAGTTGTTGTAAGTCATATTAACACAGATTCTTCAATAATTGTTGTTGATAGTGATTGCTGTGGAGCAGATCTCTTATTGTAAATTGTGTTAAAGAAAATTTGAAGAAGCCTCTTACTGAAAAGACTCTGCCTTTCCAAGACAATCTGATGAAGAGGATGGTCACGGTTGATTTTATGAAGAATCCTCCAACAACAGAACCAAGTTTTTTTAACTTGCTGTTGAGCCTTTTTTGGTTCCTGGCTCTGATGCTGCTGCCCCAACAGACGACAACAGAAGAGATGATGCTGAGAAAACACACTTATAGAAGATCTGTCTCTTGAAAGATCTTAGCTTCCTCAAGCGGTACAGTCTGCTCTGTCCCTTCTTATAGACACTTAATAGTTGCAAATCCAGTCCAGTCTGTTGTCCGGGTGAATACCAAGGTATTCTTCTCCCATGATGGAAATAGGGTTTGATCAAACCTTGTTTCTCCAGAAATCAACAATCATCTCCTTTGTTTTGTCTACATTCACAATTAAATGATTGTTTCAGTCCACTTGTTGTACTCAGCCTCTTGTCCATCTCTGATACGCCGAGACCTGCAGACCCATAAGCCTTACCTTGTGCTGGAAGTATGAAGTGTACAGAGTGAAAATCAACATTGAGAGAGCAGCTCCCCGTGGTGCTCCTTTGTTGCTGATCACCTGGTTAGACACACCTCACAAACTGTGGTTTGTCTGTGAGGTAGTCATGAAGTAAGTGATTGTTGAGGCCTTCACCTGTGTCTTCTGGAATTTCTGACAAAGCAAATCAGGCTGAATTATGTTAAATGCATTGGAGAAATCAAAGAAAAATTGCCTCTCTGCAGCTTCTCTACCGTTATACATTACCCTATTGAGATAGTACCTTTCCCATGGCCAAAATGAAATAAATTAAAAATCAAACTCATCTGCTACCATCACTTTGAAGGCAGTTTGGACTCCAAATCCAAATTTTTAAATTCTTGGAAATGGCATCAGTGGTTTGGCTATAAATTGCAATTAATAGACATTCAATTCATCCAATCATCATCTATGCCCACTCCCACTATCCCTTCTTTCTTCCTGGATGGCCAAGCATGGCCATCCACCTGGGGGCTTTCTGCATGGAGTTTGCATGTTCTCCCTGTGCATACTGGGTTCTCTCTGGGTACTCTGGTTTCCTCCCACAGTTCAAATTTAAGGTTAATTGTGTCTGTCAGGCGAATTGGTCTCTCTAAATTCTCCCTAGCTATGTGTGTGTGTGATTGTTGGTCCTGTGTGTCTCTGTGTTAACCTGCGACAGACTGGCGACCTGCCCAGGTTGATCCCGCCTCTCGCCCGAAATATCTTCCTATTGAGGCACCAGCACCCCTCCTGACCCCACCAGGGTCAAGGGTGTTCAGAAAATGAATGGATAAATAAATATTTTAATGAATACATATTTTTAGATTTGTTTCAAAGTACAACTAGTCAAAAAAAACAAAACCAGAGAAAATAACAGTAATATATTTTATTAAACATTTTGTCAGTTTTTACATATTCTGTTATATTAGGATTTTTGTGCTTTACATGTATAGCTCATGCATTGTGCCTCACAGTTTGACTTTATCATGTCGCTGAAAAAACAATCATCAGCAAAGTTTTCTGACTCATCCACAAAGGTACAGCAGGTTCTGAGCAACAGAGATATTATTTCTGCTAATGAAGAACCGACGCACAGATAACCATCGTTCTCCCTTCACTTCACCCACTCCAGTGCACTTTGCTACAGTAGGGAACGCATCACCCTGCCAAGCACAATGCCATTAGAGTCATTGAGTTTGTGCAAATATCCAGCTTATGCCTACAGAAGAAAACAGGACTACAAAAAGAAAATAGTTAGAAACAAGAGGATAAAGGACTGAAATATATTAAATACAAATATCAAATAGGAATTAATTTAGAAATAAAATATGTCCTGCAAAGGCAAAGTAAAACATGCTCAAGGAAATACAAGATTGTTTCATTCCAACTTTTAATGTTTTAGGGGGTAAATCAGACTACATGAAAATCCACATCACATATAAAAAGTTTCACAAATTATTGTTAAAGACAGAAAACATTAATAAAAACAAGGAAGATGAGGATTCATGATGTAATGATCATTGCATCACTTTTGGTGAGTTTGTAAAATAAGTTAAACACAAAAACAGACATAAAATTTTTATAAATATTTTAATCAACAGAAATACTTTAAAATGTTTGGTCCATCCTAATAAAATTTCTACCCAAATGTTATCCTAAAACTGTGAAGGGACTTTTTAGGAGTAATAATTTAATTAAATAATAAGATAGCTCATTTGCCATCTTGTAACTTTTAGACATGTTGGCATCCTTTACCTCATCGCAGAGCCACTGCTCTGCTGTTTACCATGAAAGTGGCACAGAATGCTAACATAAAATGCTAATGAAGCTTTAGATATCAGTTTAATCAGTTAGTCTCTGTTCTGAAATCATAAAACATAATTTTCCAGTAACTACTATTATCATGCACATTGTGATGTTGCCTTGGTTTCTGAAGTAAATCACTGATGACTGCTTGGAAGGCTGAAAGAAAATATTTTGAACACCGTTTATGTATAATTATGGTTCTTATAGAGAACTCTACATTTCTGGCTGAGATTAGTCCTGTTAGGTTGAAGAGTCACAAAAACTGGAGGTCAAACCTCATGGATAACAAATGTTTGATTAGAGCATCTAGATGACGGTGAGCAGAAGACGTCTAAAATCCTCCCTGTTAACCCTCATGGCTCTTGTTCTAACTCCTTGAAAATCATTTAGAATTCCTCCTACATGTGTTCAACTTTCCATCAGGGCTGATCACTGGTTTTATGAAACCATTTTTTTAAGTCTGTGAAAATCACATCTGAGTGGACAACTAGATAAAAACTTAAATTTAATTGTTTTTTGTTTTTTTTTGTATATTTGAGTCAGTCTGGAGTCTGTCCACCACAAAGAAGACATATTTAGCATTAAATTTTAGTTTATAGCAAATAATAATCATATATGATTCATGTGATGTTGATTAGCCTAAAATAGATTCAGTCAATAAGACATCATCTTTCACTGTCATAATATTAAGGTTACAGGATTTCCACCTGCCTTGCACACAACTGGAACCAATCATCCACCATACACAAATAGTTTCTCTTTTTCTTATGTGAAACCCTGTATTTCTTTCCCCTGTTTTAGGGCAGTTAATATTACAAAACTATTTCTATTTGGTAAATGCTAAATCAGAGAGAGGCATTTTACTACTTTCTTCAAATTCATGGTTCCACTGTCCTGTTGTTCCCTTAAATGTGAAGCTGCATCCACTGAGGATGTGCAGTCAAATATGTCGCAGAACAGAGCTATATTCTGTTTCTGCAGACTGCATCTTATTTTCAACTTTCCCTCTGTTCTATTTTCCATTGAACATACTAATAATGACAAATGGAATAATTTAAGAGTTCAGTTTATAGAACATCAATAGGGAACATACTTCTCTACCTAAGATCCATGAGCAGCTCACACACAATTGCTGAAAGAGAACTGGTCCTGCTCTACAGGTTTCTTAACCCAGGCGCCGAGTCCGGCCTGGAGGAAGGCTCTGAACAGAGTCTGCTTGGCTGAGTTGTACTGCACTGCGGCCTGCTTAGCCTCATGGTAGCTCCTGGGCTGCAGTGTTTGAATGCGCAGGGTGGAGGACAGCTGTTAAGCACAGAAACAAAAGAGATGTTTTAAAGAAAAGTTCATAAAAGATTAATGATTTCACAGAGTCTGCTCTTGCATAAAAAGCACAACATCAGTGATGAATACAAAGTAGTTAAACAGGATAAGCCTTGTAATGTTCACTGGCTTTGCTAACACATGCTTCAGTTCAGGTGAGCTATTGTTACCCTGCAAGATAAAATGCATTGGGATCACCTCTGTATGTGATCTGCTCAGATGTATTGTTCTGTCACAATACATGCAGTGTTCTGTCTCCTAGGTCAGTATGTTACCTTGCTGTGCAAGTCAATCCAGCGGGTAAACAGAGCATGCTTGCAGAGTCTTGAGGGTCGGCCTAGGTCATCCTTCCCTGTGGTGGCGTTAATCACCTCCAAACCCTGGTCTCCGATGGTCCAGTTCACACTGAAGTTTGGGGCTTTTCCAGGCTGACGAGCCTCTGTGTTACTAATTCCTGGAGAAAATCAGGGTGTTGCTCATTCTGGTTCTTCATCAGACTATCTTTTGTACAGGTTAGATCTAAAAGCATTATAAAAAAGTTAACTGCACAGCTTACAAATTTGATTAGATTTGTTGATGATTTTCAAAGCAAGGCTCAAACTAGAAATGTTCCCTCAACTCATAAGTATTCTGATTTTTATGGAAACTAGAAATCAATCAGTATAGTGACAGGTATAAAACAGGTAATGATACAGTACAGTATCATCATTTCACACTAAAAATGTCTCCAGCAGTGAACAAAACCTTCTCCTTACTGTCTTGGTCCTGCTTGCTCATTGCACTTGCACTTTACATCATGACAGCAGATTTACATGGACAAGACTTCATGCCTGCTTAGTGTGAGTCGATTGATTCAGTATACTGGTTTTGTTTAGACAGAGCAATTTTATATGAATTTGAATGATACATTGAATTTGACTGCACAGTTTGATAAGTGGGATCATTTGGAATGTATGTATGATTGTATAGAAAGTTGGCACTATCAATAAAGTTAATTGATATTGAATTGTAATTGAGTTTCAGTGTGAGTTAATACTATGGCAACTAGTTGGTTATTTTTAAGTTTTCACAAATTGCCACTAAATTTACAGGAATCTGTAAGGAAGACCAGTCCTTGAGAAGAACTATCATCTTCTCCAACATATCTGAATTCCCTCATCAGCAGACCTTTAGCTCTACAGAGGACTGGAAAAGAGTCATTCATTTGCTTCTGGAGTGTTGGAGAAGGATTGCTTTAAAAAGTAGCAGAATAGTAGCTGCAGACATGGCCGCCTCTGGAGGACTGTGGGATGGTAAGTCTGACTCTGTTACCACTGAGTAGAGGCTTGTTCAGGCTGAAAGGTGGCAGTAGCGCCTCCATCTCAGTAAGTCTCTGGTACATGGCTCTGGACAGATGGTCCGCATGGTACAAGCTGCCCAGGATGATGCTGGAGAAGTAGATGGGCTGAGTGAAGTAGGTCATCAAAGAGCCTTGGAATCCAATCACATTCCACCTTTTTATGATCGCAAAAGACAAATACAGAAAAGAAGCTCAAGAAAAATTACAGATCTACAACACCCATTGAACATTCTTGCCATGAAAATGTATCTTAGAAATTCTGACAGGGTAAGGTAGTTGTAATAACATTTCTGCTGACTCATCAAAAAGCATAATCCGAGAACATGTTGCACAAAGTCTAGAGACACAATGAGTTCACTTTTCAACCTGTTGGGTTCGATCCCCAGGTAAGACACTTCACCTGCCTTACCTGTTGGTGTTCATAAGGGCTAGCTGTGTGATATAGCACAATCATGTGAAGCATCTTTTGGTGTCCTGAAAAGCACTATGTAAGACTGACATTATTTCATCATTTCAGAGTAAGAATGATTAATTCATCATCCCTACATGATGCATGCAATAACCTGGTCTACAAACGTTAGTGGCCAACCATTTTGGTTAAGAAAGTCTTATAGGTTTGAATACTTTCACAAGGCATACTACGCTAGAATTTGAACAAAAGGTGGGCAATTAAAATGCCACACAGAGGGTACTGACATCTAGGTACAGAGTCTGATGAATCCCAAGGTGTGAAAAAACTTTACAGCAAAAGTGAGTTAGTCAGTTGTCTGTGTGTGGGGGCCAGAAGACAGACCTGGCAATCTTGTCGCTGCAGGACATGGTGAGCAGCCTCTCACCCTGAAGAACCCCATCCCATGTCTGGATGATGCTACCAGAGCGCACCGGGATGGTTCCTTCACCAGACTCAATCTTCGTCCGCAGCTGCCCGCGGGCCTTCCTGTTAGGGTGTCTGTCGCTCTGGTCTGAGAGATTCAAAGAGAGAAACAAGGAAACTGGAGCAACAACCTCTGAGGAATGAGGAGAAAAGCTTTTGCTAAAGGCAGCTGAAGAAGCCGTCCTCACCGTCTGCAGCAGCTTCATGAGGTGAAAAGATGCGGGCATCGCCACAGGGCGAGGTACTGATGTACAGGTGGAACTGGACGTCTGTATTCAGTCTGAAACCTTGTTTGTTGTCACAGCAGGTGAAGAGAGATTTGTGATGATCCTCTTCATTAGGACTAAAGATTCAAATTCATACAACAGACAGGAAGTATAGCTTCAAACTGGTATCAGCTTATATGAAACTGAGTCAACACATAAGATGCAAGGCAAAGATCATAGCTCTCTTCTATTAATATTGGCCAGTGGGAATATTGGTCATAATTTCATTTTTTGCTTTTTCTTCAACTCAGCAGAAATCACCTGAGAAAGTGTTCCAGCTGGGAGTACAGAAACCTGATGAGAGAGCGCCGAGCTATAATTTCAGCATGGCAGTCATTCAGGGAGAGTCCTCTGTCACTCATGTATTCACCATTGATGCACTTTGTCCCTGTGGATACACAGATAACCTGTGCCTCCTTCACATCTGAACCTGGGTGGGGAAAATCAAAATCTCAGATAACATCGGTTTGTACAAAAGCTCAAACCATTGTTTATCTTTTACATTTTCTTTATTCTTGACAGAGTGCCTGATGAAGGACAGAGTACTTTAACAAGGAACACAGATTTAATCAAACTGGGTTGACTGTATGTGGAGAAAATGAAAATACCTGTTGTCATGACAACACCTGCCAAGACTTTCCTTCGAGCATGTGGAGACTTGAAGTTATCAGTTAGTTCACTGAACTTTTGGACAACCAAACGAGAGACGGCGTCGGCCAGAACCTAAAGCAACACAAGACACAAAGCTCTGAAAGAAAGAACTCGCATCTCATTACAACTAATGTCCATTATGAAGCAGCAGTAGACAACAAGCTGGACGAGGTAAAAAGCTATGGCAGTTCTTCTGCACTTTATTTGAATGGAAAGTTTTTTTGCTGGTGTAAATGACAGGCAGGTTCTCCACTCGAAACGCTTTGAGAGCTGCAGCTTGATGAACAACAGTGTGTGAACAGCACTCAGCCATGACAGAGATACTAATTAAGATAACAGCTTCATTATCAGTGTGCAGGGATTACAGGTATGGATCAGTTTATGTGTAAATAGATTCTCAGTGAATTGAACTCGTCTTTCCTGAAGTCACCTTTAATCATGTTTTGTCAAACTGGTCACAACAAAAGCTTTTTTACAATAAAACTATCATCAGTTGAAGGTATCTCTTCATGATTGTAATAATAATTAGTAATTCCATACATTCCCATACACAAATTTCCAGTTTTCCTTCAGTTTCATAAAAATCCATGGATGTTTCTACAGGAGGTGGAGTTTATATGAAACCTGACAGAAAACCAGGAAGGAAACACACAACTTTTCATTTCTCATATGCAAATATTTTTAGGTGTATTTTCTTTTTCAATGCTCATCTCCTGGAAATAAACTTCTATAGTTTGCCACAACGTCTATGAATCAATTAAAACTGACAGAAAGTGCTGATATGGATGAATAGCTTATATTAATAATTAATCACTGCAGAAAGACTAGAAAAAAGTTCTTAAAGAGAAATCAGCATCAGTTCAATTTGCTGTTGGCAAATCAGACTTTGGCTAAATTAAGGGGATATTGACATAATAATTGAAATATTAACTTCATTAACAAATTAAAGAAAAAAATTATAGTTATTTTACAATTTTATAAAACATAAAATGATTTAAAACATAAATGTTTCCAAAGTGTTAAGTTGTTTATAGTAGGTAACTAGATTTTCTTTATTGATAAATGTCAATGATGAGGCACAGACTTTAATTTTGCATTCATTTTTTTAGAATACAGTTTGTGGATGAAGAGGATGCTATTTAAATAAAGTTTTCTTACTTTAATTCTATGTATTTAAATCATATATGTGATCAGAAACAAGATACCAAGCAGCTGAAGGTGCTGATGCAGCAGCACAGAGCTAGAAGTGAAAATCAGTTTGTAATAACTCACTATGGACATTCAATGGACATTCAATCTGCAGATTTCTCATTGAAACCACTTTTATGCTACATTAGACAGTTTTAGTTAGCTTAATTACAGCTCTGACTAGTTGGTCTTGCAGCAAATGGTTGTTTTTAAAGTCTGTTAACAATTAATTGATTACTACGTTAGTTGACAATTATTTCAATAATTGATTCCCCATGATAAATTCTTTCATCCCTGGTTTATAGTAACCGACAGTAAAACAAAGTAAAATCCTGCTCACCTGTGGTTGATGAAGCTGCAATCCCTCTTTGGGTCTGGGTTGCCGGGACGATACCCGGTCCGGCTCAATATGAAAGAGTGCAGACAGGGCAGCCTGGGCGGCTCGAGCTTTGGCCAGCCTCTTGTTCCGCCCAGAACCCTGGAAGTTCTGAGCGTCCACCGTCACTGACATGACAAAGTTTTTGGCGTGGCTCTCCCCGCTCTCAGACACAGTATTAAATTTGAGTCCTGGCCTCATTTCATTAAGAATCATTACAGGGTTCTTGCCACTTGTCAAGGAAGTGAAGCCAAATGAATTATGGGTTAGGGGAGACTGAACAATGTTTGACGTAGGAGGAGAGAGAAATGGGTTTTCTATTCCCAGAGTTGTGAACGATCTCCTGCTGCTGGGGGCCAGGTATAAAGGGTCACCTAAAGCTCTGGATGTCTCAAAGGCATTGAAGAGCTCATCAGGAAAGTCCCCCTGGTCTGAGGTGAAGTCTGTGTGAACAGCCAGAGTGCGACCCATGGCCATGTGGGCTTCAGACGCGTTAGGGAACTGGACAAAGGAACGCAGAGCCTTCTCCGCAGCGCTTAGCTTGGCCTTCTTTTTGGTCTGACCTGAGCCATCAAATACCTGCCCATTGACCTCCACAGTCATCACAAACACAGGCGCATGGACTGGGCCAGACTGAGAAAGCAGCTTGTATTGAAGTCCAGGCTTTATTTCATTCAGCTGCATGAGGGCATTCTTGGGCACAATGGGTCCTGAGACCTTTTTACGCTTTTTCGGCCAGTACTTGCAGGCTGTGCGGCCATTGTTACCCTCCGCTAAGGGACGTTTCCTACCTCTGCCCGTCCTTCCACTGCGGAGCTGAACAGCAACAGATGCAACCCCTTCTTTTGAGAAGAGGTTGTCCAAGTTGTGATTTTCCTTAACATCTGTGCTGCATGAACCTGCGGTGCCCAGAAAGAGTAACTTACAATGCCTTCGTTGCAGGATCTTGTAAATGTAAAATTTAGAGTCCGTTATTATCTCTGTGCAACTGAGTTCAGTGATGTGTGTTCCAGAAGTTTTAGGAAACATGAAAGTCTGACTTCATATTTAGAATTAAATTTACAACTGAAGTGTAACAGTATTTTCTTAATTTATGACTGATAAAACTTACAACCAGCAAGTTATTCTTTAAGACAAAAATAATGCTGCCTCTATCTCATTTGCACCTAAACTGTAAAGTTCATATCAACATTAAAGCTCCAAACTCCAATTGAATTGTTTCTTCTTTCTTAAGACATTCATGGCATTTAGGAACACATATCACCAGACCCTGTTAACAAAGTCCTTGGAATGCTACATAAATTTCCATTTATAACATCCTCTAGCAAAAGCTTGATAGGTTACTGCTTTTGGTGCTTGTCAGGAAAAATTCAGGATAAAACTAAATGTATCAACTCTGTAACATTTAAACATTATCAATCCTCATGGATAAATTCCAAGATTTGTTTGGAATGAAACTAAATTATTTAACAGTTTTTTTCTGTTTCTTAGCAGAAGAAGCCTCTGTGTTCTGGAAATCCTCGTCACTTCAGCAACAACAGATCAGTTCATCAGTCAACATCCACTGGATGGAGTCATCAGGGATCAGAGTTCAAATTTTAACTGTATAAAAACCTTTCACATTAAACAATTACACATTGCACAACATTAAAATTGTTATAGCAAATAATTACAATGCAATCTAGATTTTAAAAATATCCTTCAGTTTAATTCAAGCTTCATCTTGAGAAAAGTAATGATTTGACATTATAAATTTGTTGTCCAGGAAGGAAACAATCATCAAGTTATTCTGTTCAAACTGTTTAACCTGAAAGTGGAAAAAAGTCACATCTTCTGAAACTGCTGCCCTTTTATTTCCACTACTAAAGGTTAATGTCCTGTTTTGACCCGTTGGGTCCAGATTGATCAAATGGGACTGAGACCAGTTTCTAACCAAAACTCATTACCAGTTCAGCTTCATGTAATCCAATAAGAACTCTAAATTACAGGAGTGGAGGAACTGAACAAGACAAAGTTTGGGTTTTAGCAGCAAAATGGACAGCATGCAAAGACAATGATAAAGACAGCAGGGCTGGATGGAACTGAACGACAAAAAGGGCAAAGCCCTAAGCAACAAGAGGGGGAGGGGAAGTCATTCCTCTTAGATAAACAGCTGGATAGCTCAGCAAGAAAACTGTGAAATTATTGTGAAACAATATGTTAATATTGTCAAACCATGTTTAACAATATGATTCACATTGAGTGAAACCTGTACAAACTGCTGCATTGAGCCCTTCAATAACCTTGAGCTCCTCCACTGTCAGCCATAATCCACATGTTCCTCCAACAGGGATGGGATTATTACTACCCAGCACTAATAACCAGTGTAAGGAGGCTGCTTGTGTTAGTGTTGAACCAAATAAGCTGTTGGCTCAGCAACACCACAGAGGAGAATAACTGCACTATCAGTCTTACACTGAAAGCAATCATCTTTCACTTACATTTCCCTGACTGTCTCAGTCTGTTGCACTGGGTTGAGCTGGATTATATGTCAGATTAAACATCTTCCTTCTGTTAACGGACCTCAAAATTCACATTGTGTCAGGTGAAAATATGGGAACGTGATCACCAGTTGGAACTATCATGAGTGTTATCTACGGTAGAATGGACATTAGCCCCAATGAATGCTGATTAAATCCCCTACATGTTCCAAAATAAGTCATTGTTCATCACAGCTTGTATTTTATTTTTGTACTAAATATGGAGGTTAGATTGTAACATAACAATAGTCTGAAACCATACATAATTGAAATCTATTTCTTTCCCCTGAAACAATTTCAATGGTACATTTTGTGATGATATTCTGCTAAGAATCTTTGCAAGCTAACAGAGAGTTAGCATGCAAAGAGTCCCTTTAATTCCCCAATAAATCAGAACTTGACTTAAAGATATCAGATGTAAAATGGACTCACTCATGCTTTGTGTTTCCATCCGCTCTGTGACGGGCTCCCTCTGCTGGGTTCGGATTGGCCGGTTCCCTGATCCACCTGCAGGAAACACAAACTTCAGTCAGCTTTCTTTGGATTCTCTCGTTTCTCATGTTGCCAACTACAACTTGATGCCTCTTTTAATGTTGTAATATTCGAGACCAGTCTCAATCTTGTGTTGGTCTCAGTCATTGAGGACTCAGGATTTTACTCGGTCAAAACCACAACTGTAAAAATGTCACTAGATTGTCCAGCTTATTTGGTAACATCCTGGTTTTCACTGGATAGAGTAACTTGACTTGGTAATTAGTGTTTCTGTCCCCCTATAAAGCGTCATCGGCCCTTTAACTCTCTCTAGGACATGCAGTACTCATCTCAGAGTGAGGAGACTAAATTTACTTACAAAAATCATAAGAAAACATCAGCAGCGCTTCGCTTTCAGAGACGGTGGGACTACATTCAACTTTTAGTGTGATTTTGTAATGAAGCTCAATGAATGGTAAGCTCTGTGAAGTGATGTTAGCAAAGTTAGCTACAGGGACCGATATGTTTCAATTGTGATGATAATGCTGTCACTGTGTTTGCTGTGCGAAGGTGTTGACTGGTGTGTCGCACTGACGTGTCACACTTGTGCTACGACGTGACTAAAGTCTGCAATATAGAGATGCCTGCATGTATCGGATCCGGTCATTTATGAACGATCCGATTCTCCTATCATTCTGAGAACAATAGGACCGAAGCCTCACTGAGAACCGTTCTTAGTTTTTGCAATGCACAATGCATTGTTTTAATCATTCGATTTTATATATTTATTTAATCATCAAATAAATAAAATACAAGAACTAAGATGAGCCACAGCGCAGCACATTGCTCTGTGATTATTTTTGGCACCTGGGTTCATGCAGACAGACAGAGGGACAACAACAATGGTTACTTCTTGCTTGGTGCTCATTGGTCAGTGTTCATAGTTTACCTTTAGTGCATTGTTATGTTTAATGGAGCAGACAGTGGTGGGCCATATGAGCAACCTCCCAGGGCGTGATATTGTCAGGGGCAACATGAGACCTCTGCAGATTGTGGCACAGAGATGGTAGCAAAGCAGAATAAAGAAAAGTTTGAATTGGTCATTTTAATTTACTTCAGCTCTAAGCATTTAATATCTGGGTCCTTTTATGGGAATGTGAATCTTTCAGATCAATTTAAGAAGCAACTTTGGTCATATTTCACATTTTATTGTGTCAGGTAGCGCGGCGCTCTGGTCTTGGTCTTTAATCGGTCTCAAGGCGGTCTGGTCTAGGGTGAGGTGGTCTTGACTACAACACTGGTATCTTTGTCTTTAAAGTCATATTTTCACCAAATATTACTTCATTTTATCAGTCACAAACATTGACAAAGTACCCTTCATATTCATAACAGGTGTTGCTATGTTTATCACGGCATCAGTCTCACACATACCCCTTCAAATAAAGTCTTACACACTTTTCTAAATCCAATCATAATATCTATGGTTTGACATTTAATTACAATGTAAATAAAACAAATGTTTGAAATGTGACATTTAAGTAATGAAGAAAAATATTGCAAAGAAACATATTTCTGTAAAGCTGAGTTAATTCTCCTTGATTACTGCCTGACCTTTTCAGCTGAAACGGGACAAAAAGAAAGCTGATTAACCTGCAGTTCACAGGAAGCTTCTGTTTAAAATGCACTTAACTTTTCACAGGCTTTTTAGATTTGGATGGAAATGTGACATTTACTGCAGATTTTAGGGAAACCAGAATGAAAGATTCAGCAAAAGACAGAAAACATTTATTACAACTTCCTAAGCTAAAATACTTACTGACAGTTGGAAACATCACAATCTATCAAATGCAGACAGACTGCAACAGACTCAGTTTCAGGGCGGTTTGGCCAGTGTGGCAGGCTGTCAAGCTTGATGAACAAGCCCACTCAGGTATTTCAAGTGGTTGAAAGCTTGAAACATTTGACCCAAATCCTGCAGCTTACAAGGCAATTCTACAAATGACTAAGAAAGCAGGTGAAAACTGCGGCAGCAGTCCAAAAACAGGAATGTTAGATTAATTTTCTCCAATTTAGGTTGAGCTGATATATTTCAATGACTTCTGAGTTTCTTTGCTTGTTTAGACTCAGAACACAATCCTCCAAACTTCTGCTCTGTGAAATCTTTATGACAGCTTTAATTTGTTGTGTGACTCTGGAAGTGGCTGCAGGGCCAGAGTCATTTTCAGGTACTAATGACACTTAAAGCCATGCAGTCACTTTGGCCCCAAACCAGAACCCCCACCTACAGGTATTAGTGCTGCTGACAGCAACTGAGTTAAAACGCTGTAGTGGACTCTTTACAGCGCTGAGGAGGACTGAGCAACTTTTTGACAAGCAGATTACCTTTAGAAGATGCAGACAGAGAACACTTTGATGGACTATGAAGGTATGAACATGTGCTCCAGCAAACCCTCAATATCAGCTGGAGTTAAGAATCACTGCCAACCACAAAAACCTAAAGTCTTGGTTGATTTGAGACTCTGCCTAAAAATGCATATAAGTGCCAATTTTAACAGTTCAAACCCCAAATATACCTTAACATGCACAATAGATTCATTAATAGGAAGTGCAGAATATCTGAAGTTTTCCTTATTGCTGTGTTTGGGGTTCAGCCAGTTAGGAAAACAAATGACACTCCTGGGTTTACTGCTTCGCACTCAGCAGCCAGTGAGCTGTGCTTTGGTATTTACGCTTCCCAAGCTATATTTTATAGATATGCTCTATGACAAAAATCCAATACAAGGGGGATTTTGAACAAATCTTGTTGAGTCACGTTTCATAGAAAAACCTGAAAATACTGAAGAGCAAAAAGTTATAAAAAAAAGTTTACAATAATTCTTAAAAAGATGTTTCCTTCTTCATAAAACATAAATTATTAAGGAGTTTGCAAGTATATGCATTTTTGGATTGTGTCTTGTGAATTATCACTGCACATCTCCGTTGTTATAGCGACGGACGCACAGAGTCAGAAGAGTTGCTGGACTCCCATCCAGCACAGTTTCATCACAGCCTTCAAAGCTGCAGCATGTGTTGCTGGTTAAGGAGCAGATTGACAGAGAAAGTTCGCCTGTAAAATCTCAATCTGTGTGATAACAAGTTGACGAAGGGGAATCATATAGTGGAATACTAACAATCCAAAAAGGTGCAGGCGTGCCGCTCGCCTTCACCTCAGCTTTTTAATAAAGATGGAGAAGTTTCTAGGAGTGATTTCAGATTCCTGCTGCCATCCACTGACCCATCTCTTCCCTGTTCTCCCTGCATCACTGAGCACAGATGTTATCTCTGCTCTCCCGGGCCGAGACACGGCCAGGCCGGGTCCACTCCTGTTCCCCTGCAGCTTGTGATGGACTGATGTTGAATTTCACACTCCGAGGCTTTGGCTCTAAGGCCAGCAGTAGCTGGTGGAAGGGCAGGAAAAGCTGTTTACTGAAGCCTAACAAGCAGGGAATATCAGAACAGTCAAAAGATTTCAGAAGGGCACTTTTTTTCCAGAAGAAAAATTTCAGGTACCAATCAGATTAATGTTTGTTTTAACAAATGATTGAAATGAAAAGTGGCTCTGAGATTTAACAGGCATTCTGATGGGCTGTCATGGAGGAAGTCTAACAGACCTGTTGATTAAAGCCAGAGTTTGATGACAGAGCTGAGCAGCAGGGTGGAGGAAGGGAGGAGTGAGGACGATATCAGTTCCTGCACATCACCTGTGTGCGAGACAGATCAAGTTTTGGGCCGACAAGCACATCTCATGGAAGCGGCATGGCATGCACGCCTCACAGAGCACATCGGCTTAGAGCTCGTCTGAAAATCACTTTTGCTCCCAGTAGATTAAACTCACACTTCAGTTCATCTCCCAACACCTCGCTTAGCAGGGACATGAAAATAATGGGCTTTATACTCTCCCCGCATGCAAAGTATGGCTGAGTATGTTTTTCTTTTTTCATACGATGTTGCTGTTTACCACACTGCATGAATTATCATTAGACTAATAAAGGGAAGAGGAAGCACGATACATCTGCTGCCTTGGCTTTTGGTACAGCAGCTACAATTGGAATAAATGTGGGGATTAAGTAAACGTGAGCATTTGCTCCCAGTGGATAGTAGTTGTTGCTTGTAATCTCACTCAAAGCCAATGAATATGAATGAAGAGGAAGCAGCTGATGATGCTGTACGATTCTGTATCCTAGAAGTTCAACAGCTTCCAGTAGAAACATCCATGTTTGACAATGACTGATGTTTCTGTCTTAGTTAAGAACACATTCAGAACAACATCTGGAATAAATTCCCAGATTCCTTATGATGGCTGAAGTGGAAGGACAAGTAGAACTAACCCTGGATCTGCTATCTACAACGTTCCATTCATATCTGGATACAGATCAAAAGGGAACTTGGGGCTAAGTGCCTTGCTCATCAACATGTGCCAGGAAGAAGCTAAGTTTAAACCACCAACTTTGAGATTGCAGAATCACTACTCTATAAATGCAGCACATTTCTGGACGAAAACCTGCAAGACCCTGTAAACCTGAGATGGAGGTTTACAGCAGAACTGCAGCAAACTATCGCCACGAAAGGAAACAAGAGTCTAAAGAAACAGACAGAAACTGGTCAAACTGCAGCTGTGGATCAAACATCAAACATTTCTTTCTGCCTGACTTTAGAAGAAAGACAGAAACATCTCATCCTCAGATCCATCCTGACTTTGTGCTCAATGGTTCAACTAGAGCAGCAGCACTCATTAAACATGAGCAATGACAGATATATTCCTCTGAACAAGACACACCTTAATAAATGATGACTAAAAGACACTGGCTTTGCTACAGCGCAGCACAAATACAACTGAAACTCCTATGAAGTGAAGAGCATCTTCTAAACTCATGCAGACAGCATGAAACTGGAGCAGCAGGTAGACTCCTACCTTTACGCTCTGAGCGTTTCTTCCTCCTCCTCCTGAACCGCCGGCGGATCAGGCAGCAGTGTGCAGCCACATCTGGCAGCAGAGCCATGGCTGATCCGTCCCCTGCAGGCTCTGGAAGACTGTCGACAACTTTGGACCGAACAGGGAGGAGGAGCAGAAGACTGCTGTGGTAAACGGCTGTCAGATGAATGGGCTGCGATATCTCTCCACCTCCTTCCTCCGCCTGCCACACTGACTCTTCTTAACCCACACATGGATCAAAGGTTGCTGCTAACAGTACTAGTGACCTGTGGATTAGCTCCCCTCCACCTTCTTTCATTTCATTTTCTCCTTATCGCCGATTTGTTTTGCTCCAGTTGAGATCAACATTTTGATGTAACCTGATGACATTTTGTCCCTTTTCACAGAACAGCACAAAGTAGAGCATCATTGTTACCTGGAGGGATGAAGATTAATGTGTTGGGATTTTTATTTACTGCTTAAAACCAGAGAACATTCCAAGCAAATGAAACAGATCCAATTTCTAAAACAGATGAAAAGGAAAACCTGAGATAAAGCTTTATATATGAAGATATCTAACAGACATGAGAAGGAAAATTAAACATGAGATAAGAGGATGAATGATATAGCCTGCAGTGGATTATAGCTAAAATACTGAAGGGTTATGTCAACATAATGTAAGATTCAACATCCGTCTGCAGCTTACAGGCCCAGCTGGCTGAACTAAACCACCATGTTCAAACGTGTTTGTTTGGGAGGATAATAGAGCATCAATTCATAATAACTGTCTCAAGACATGTTACAAATAAAACAATATCCAACTTATGTAGTGCATTCAAAAAAAGACTAAGGCTTAAAAGTACAGTCACATTAAAAAAATTTAAATATGCATTCTAATGAGACTGATTTATCAAAATAAATTATTTATTTTACTAAAGCCTTGAATTTTATTTTTGTTCTGAAAGACATCGGAGTAGAAATAATCTAGATCACATTTCACTTTGACAGTGAACTGAATTACTGAATTACTTCAAAAAGGTCTTATTTTGTTATACATGTATTGATCCAAGTCATCACTGCACCATTAGCTTCCATTGTGTCATTGACTTTCCTCATATTTCCTCAGAGAGAACAAGGTTCTGTTTTAACAGGAAGAAACATCAAGCAGAAGCAGATCTTATGTTGAAGAAAAGTTCAAGCAGTGAGTCTACGGCTGCTCTAAACCACAACTACTGTCTGGTCCAAATGTTAAAAAAGAAAATTGAAAGTCACGCAGATTTTTATATTTTCCACAGTAAGGCAAATTTACTGAACTTATTTAAAATTGTCTAACAGTTTTTTTAAACCAGTAAATCCAATCTCTTTAACATAGGCCTCACGCAATGAAGCTCCCTTACATTTAAAGCACCAGTTTCAAAATAAATCTAGCTGTGAACTTTAAAAGTTATCAATAAATTATTACATTTTCATAGAGCTTGTTCAGCAAAAAACTGTTTTCATGTGGGATCAATCTGACCCAGTAACCCACCAGACAGCATACTTTAAAATGAGAAGCTACAAAAACAGCTGGTAAAATAAGCATTAAACATCTTTTATCTCTGCTTAAATATTTCTAATGTTTAAGCAGAGATTCAGATTGAATTTACCAGTCGAATAAATCTGCACAAAAAATAGTTAGGCTAGCCTACAAATAAAGTTATGGATAAAAATATTAAAAAACTGATTTTAAGTTTGATGAACCTTATTCAATATTTAAGACAAAAGATTATTTGTGTAATGAACTTTAAGATTCTCTTGTACAGAGAAACCAATCGGTCCAGACCTAAAATGACCAGATCTGTGTGAAAAGCTAAAAACTGAGATTAATATTTATTCTCCAAACAATCTCACTGAGAACAATTGGCCAAAACTTTAGTCTATAGATGCTCAAAACTTGTAGACAAACCCCAGAGAGCTGCAGCTGGAATTGCAGAAAAATGTGCTTCCACAAAGCATTGAATCAGGCTGGCTAAATAAAAATGCATGCCACACCATTCAGGGGTTTTTTCCACAAAATCCTTGCAAACCATTGAAGTTCATGTTTGTTTAAAGTTGAAAACGTCAGAGAGCAGCCTCCTGCTGTCACACTTCCAGTATAACTGGACAAATTGCGCCACCTACTGTTCACTTCAACAAGTCCCAACTCTGAACTGAAATCAGTTTCTGCAGATTTACTGAGTTTGATGAATTTCTGTACTTACTGTAAATGCTGATGCTGCTCCTCTGATTAAAATACCTTTATTAGGACCTTTGATATGTTTTTTTTTCCATCCATCAAAAATCCTACTTTATTAATAATGCATTATTGTTCCATTGTTCCACATAACAAGCCGTTTGTTACTCTGTGACTTTTGATTTGACAGGATTTGTCTGACCTCAGTGGTAAAGTTTGGTGGAGGGAGGACCACCATGGGAGCATGTCCTTCACTCTGTTTGTTCCACTGAAAGCAACTCTTAGTTATCCTATCATACCAAAATATTTTGAACAGTTTCATTATCCAACCTTGTTGGAACAGTTTGGAGATGATCTTTTCCTGTTTCAACATAACTGACCATCAGTCCACAAATAAATAGATCAGCCAGGTTGGTGTGAAGGAATTTGACTGTTCTGTACAGATTCCTGAACTCAACCTTATAGAATTACAGTAGAAACTGTGTGCTACGCCTTCTTGTCCAACATCAGTGCTTGACCTCACATATACACTTCTGAAAACATGGTCAAAATGTCTACACCAAATCTGAATGTTCCTGAAGTTGCGATAGCTGTGCAGGGTGTGCATGTTTTCTGTTTAACGCTGTGGATCAGGAATGGGACGCCACACAACTTCACACTGCATGTGTGAAGGGAACTAACCTAATGCTTTTACTAGTAAAGTATGCAGTTCAGTACAAATGATTCAGATATCAACATATTGATCTTTCAATCAGATCAATATGTTTCATCTGACAAGAAGTAATATTAATGTTTTGGAGCTGGCTAATCAAAGTTTAGAAATGAATCTGTTAGAGAACACAGGCATAAATAAATAAAAGTCTCCTTCATCATGTTCTGATGGGAGGCTGTTCTTGATCCACAAGATGTCATCCAAGTCTTACAGCCGACAAACATGTAGCTGCTGGACATAAAGCTCGAAGGCTCCAAGATATTCAGGGATTCAAAGTGTTCAGGGAACAACTGCTTCTTCGTTTTGTCCTCTGGCTGACAGATGTCTTCAGTTCTCTTCATGTAGACGCGTCAGTCTCGTCCTTCAGGCTTTTCTCTACATGCTGGGATCGTTTATCTGGACAGCATCTCCTCTGAACGAGTCCCCAGAGAACTCTTGATTGAAACCGTGTGATTGGTTGTCTTTTTCCGCATTAGAAAATGTCAGTCTTGATGGAAGCAGTGGGGTCAAAGTGTGTGTGTTGGGCCACACACACTCACCTCGCACGATAAATGCTAATACAAGAACACAGGGGGAAAGCGGGTTAAGGAACGATACACTGTGGTCAGAATGGGAGACTGTCCTGGTATTCCTACTCAGATACACTGATTCAGGTATGAGCACCTGCAGGTGGCGCTATGGTAGAAAATAATTGTTTATGCTTATAACTCAAAATTGGCATGCCAATTGATATGGGCAAATCAAAACAAAATTGATATGGGCAAAGTTTCCAAGAAAGATTCTTCAACAGATGAGTCCATGTGCAATTTTTAAAAAAATTTTCCAGCAAAGAGCCATGAAGAATGCATTAGCCAAACTAATATCACCCCCTAAGTTCAACTCTGAGCCCAATAAAACTTGGCACAATATAACCTAAAAGAGAAACAAAAAAAAGTTATTGCAGCGGATTTTAGATTTTCTTTCTGCCTAATTACAACATAACAGTTAATCAAACACTGCTCTGAATCGGAAGGCTGCAGGTTCCAATCTGGGTTGTGATGTGTGGTTGATGGGGGCGCTGCACAGGGAAACCTGCTGAGTCGGGCCAGGAACACATTATAACTGTTTGCAGTTCGAGTTTTTTGTTCTTTTATACATCAGTTGAGCTCCCAGTAATGAAAGGATGAAGCCAAACTGTGCCAAAGGCAAAGAAAAACATCTCCAGTCAATCTGGACCTTATTTTAAGAAACCAGTCAAACTCGGAGCAGCATGGAGCGGCGATGCTTCTGCAGCTCAGGACTCTTTGCTAAAGTCCCAGCAGGAGGCAGCACTGAGTGCAGGCTCAGTGAGGACATCAGAAAGACATGAGGACGAAATGATAATCACCTGACTGCTGTCCATGAGTTACTCTTTGGGTTTCATAAAGCAGCAGAGAGACATAAATCCTGCTTCTGGAAGCATGGAAACTGAATAGAGTAATAAAACACGAAGAAACGGGAAAAACCCACAAGGAAATGCTGACTGAACGAAGGACTGCAGAAATATTCCAGTCAGCGTCTCAGAGATGGTAAAAGCAATATTGATGAACAGCAGCAGACGCTGTGGTGAAACACAGAGGAGTGGAGTCAGGCCTTTCCAACGTTATTAGAATGACCTGACCTGGCATCTGTGTTTAATTCAATAATGAAATCAAAACTTGTCTACTTAATTTAAAATGCCGCTTTATCAGATGTGCAGCACTCAGTTTGGAAAGATTTTGAACTAAGATGCATTATAACAATAACCAGTAGTATAGTTCAAAGAGTTATGATAAATCTCAATTTAAACCTCAAACTTATAAAATAAAAATATGTATAAACTGCCAGGACATTTTATGTAGATTGTTGGAAAAAAATAAATAACCTATAAATAAGTCCTTAGCTACCGTCATGTAACGCACTTATTGACAAACAGCAGTTAACATAGATAAATTTTTTTACAGGTTGCAAATCGCAGATATTTCAGCTTCCTGGCTGCATTTTTATTTTTGTCAAATATCTTAAAGTCACTCTTCTGAATTTCACAGCAAAGTGATACTTGCAAGAAAAATGCTCATATTCCATAAATATAAATGTTACTCACGGGGCAAACACAATTACTTCTGTGATCAGATTTGCTTCTATTTTTCATTTTTAGTTTGGATCTGATGGGATTCTCATTTGTCAACAACATTGAAAAACATAAAATAACATTAGAAACTAAACGTTAATCTGTCCCAGTGTTTTATAAAATATAACTCAATCTCCATCCGATCCAGAGGAAACATTTTTTATGTGAGAATAAATCTTCTTTAATGAGGTCATTTTGCCCCAAAAATATCCCACCGTGACTAACTGTAGTCAGTTCAATTTAGTCAATGGAGGTGTGAGATTTAGTCGAGTTGATCAGAACTACGATGACTTGAAGTGATTAAAGTTGAAATAAAATATTCTGCTGAGCTGATGAACTGAACTCACATCTAATTTTTCTTTTCATTTTCTTTCTTTAGTTCAGTTCTGTCAACTCAGTCGTTCCAATGTCTGTTTTCATCATTACTGGGCAGAATGAGAAAGAAAAACAACTAAAAACAAAAAAATATTCTCGACATTTAAATGATCTCCTTAGACTCAACTACACAAACATACTTCCCTCATAAACCCATATGCAGAGGTTTTAATGTTTAATGTTACTTGAAACTTGATTTAACTCAAAATGTCTCCTTAACAACATATTGAAGGATTATGACTCTTATGGGAAAAATACATTAAACATTCAAATATATATACAGCTTGACATTGGAAATATTTAATCTTTTTTAACCTTTTTGCCAGACTGAAGTTTTGCTTCAGTGTTTGAAATGATTATTACACGGTCGTAGACACATTCACACTGCACAACATCCAGATGTTGAAACTTGAGGCTTTTGGAGAAAAGATGCATAAATGCTCATTGAGAAGTTTTAAACAATTCTATAAAACTGAAATAAATCCAGGCTCCTTCCTGGATAAGTTTGACCATGATGCTCCTCTTTAATAAAATCATTTTATTTTATTAGGCTGAACCATAAAATGAAATAACTGCTATTACTTCTATTTTAACTGTCTGAACTCAAGTGTTTAAAGTGTAGTTGTCCATTCCATAAAGATTAAATTGTCAGAACAGGGAATAAAATCTTAACATAACAAATAATTAATGGAATAAATATAATAACAAAACTAAATCTGTTAATGATGCTTATGTGTTTTATTGTCTTGAAGAGACAAAGACCTCACAGACACTTTCTGGTTAAGTGGTGAATTTAGTTTTAATTAGTGAATAAAAAAAAACAGAAAAAAAAAACTGGAGCACAATAACAACGCGGTACGATGCAGGAGCCAGTCTGTATTCACATTCTGATAGTTCATTTAAAATGACCCTGAGCAATAATCTGTGCAAACATTTCTACGTTTTTATAATAACTGTAGTTTCCCTTTTGTGTATTTACTGTTTGCATTTATTGACTAACTTTTCATTTTAATTTTGTTTGCATAACTTTTGTTTTTAGTGAACCTTTGACAGTCTTAAGGCTAATTCTGACACATTTACAAAAATGCTAATTAATGTGGATTTTATCTACCAACTAATTTAAATTCCATTAAAATCCAATATCTGATGAAAATATGAATCATTTTTAGCTTAACTGTATATTTGGTGACTTTTCTATGTTTATCGCTACAATTTACATGGTACACTGACACAAATTCCCCTTCCCAAAAAATGATTTCTATATTTCTAAAACAATATGTAACCCTGATGAGCTGCATCATTCATGTTAAAGTTCTCATTTGCAGATTGGAGCCATTTTGGTTCCATCAGTTCAACAGGATTTATGAGAAATGAACAAATCAGTACCTTCTTTATCAGATCACTGTCAGTATATTTTCTTTTAATAGTTGTCACTTTTAATAATATATTAATTGAAAAATCCTTTGTAATTACTGTGTGGTTGTTATGACGATCCCACTGCTCTGGTTCACTTTGTTTTTCTTTCCTTTTGAAAGTAATTTTAATACAGAAAATACCAAGGATCTGCCTAAATGTGCATTATATGATGATTATGATCATGTTTTCTTGTCAAGTCACATTTCTTCTCCATCTACATTTAACTTGAACTTTATTTAAAACAACACCTACTGAAACCGTCACATAAGCCACTTTTTTTTATCAATTTTTATACAAATGTCACCCGTCGTTATGCTGTAACAATAGGAGTCTAATAATCGTTGCTCTGCTGCTCGGCTTTTTAATAGAATTGACATTTGCCTTTTTTTAAGCAAGGAAAAAATGTGTCAGTTTAGATTAATCTAATCACTCACTCATAAAAAAATATTTTCTGGAAATGAATTGACTGAAGTGTGTATTCATCTTCAGGAATGCAGAAATATGCATCCCAGCTTTTTATGCTTAAGTCCAACAAGTTTGTTTTATCGGCGCCGTTACTGGACGGTTCAGTAAATACTGCTGCTCTGTGTGGTGGATCAACGCAGAATAAAGTTCTTTTAGATTCATCTGAACATTCAGTAGAACCACACTGAGCTCTGGGTTCTAGTCCAGTTCAAATCCAGAACATTGTTCAAGCTGAATTTTCACATATGTGAGTCTTCAGAACCAGAACCACTACAAGAGGTGAGCCATGCTCTGGTACTTACTGTGTGCAGGAGGTTCCAGATGCTCTGCAGATCCCGGCACCGGCTGGTTCGTCCTTTCCTCCAGGACCTGCCTGTCTTATCTGAGAACTGAGGACTGGAGAGGAGGAGACAGGTTAAGAAGAAAAGGGGTGGGAGGATAAAGCAGCAGTGTGTCTGATGAGACAGGAGCTTATTTGTAGGACGAAACGCCGCAGGCTGCACCAGAGGTCTAACATCGAGTCATTTGAAAGTATTGAATCCATAGCTGTTCTGCAAAACTGCCCACTGTCATTTTCTCTAAACGCCACATAGATATATTTTCTCTCCCAGGAAGAATGAGATATTTCTAAAAGCTGCAGAAATGGGAATTAGAAAAATAAATTTGCTTAATGGAAACATATCAATTTCAAAAAAAGATTTTTTAATTAAAAAAATATATATATATTTGCACAAGGATGCAGTGGTTCTTTGGTCGTAACAAAATATGATCAACTGGAGGTTGAACGACCAGATGATACCAGCAGACAGGAGGAACATGTTTTCTAATTACTAATCACATGAACAAACTTATTCACGCATAATTTGTGTCTCTTATTTAATAGAAACACGGCAATTACAAAATTGTGGGGGTTTTTTCATTAGCGGCAAATTGAGAACATTTTGCTCACATTTGCAATAGAAATATCATGATGTTGTGGTGGAGGAAGACCCAAATGTAGGAGCAGCAGAGACATGAATACTTAAAAAAAAACATACCCCCCTCCCCCACACACACACACACACCCACACACACATACACACACACACACACACACACAAAGCCAGAGCAGAACAAAATCAGGAATCCAGGGTGGAAAGACAGCAGGTTATTACATGGAAGAAACAGGAAGGTAGCTGTTGAGAGGGGGCAGCAAAGTGAGACTGAATAAATGACATAATGAGGAACTTGATTTACAGAACAAGGAACAGATGGCTCATTAGAAAGGAGCTGCAGATGTGAGGGGAGACCATAGCAAAAATATTTACAAAGAAATATTTATTAAATTTATTTGCAAAATGAATTTAACAAATAACTAGACATAGGGAAGAAATGAACATACACTAAAACAGCTAAGAACCAAACTAAGGCTGATCTAATTGTAACTCAGGGCTGCACCGATTGCAGTTTTCTGGCCAATCACCGATCTTTTAAAAACCTTAACCTTCCAATTCCGATTTTGGGAAATACCTTTTTTTTTTTTACGGAACTGTTGCTCAATGAAGCAAGACAATTGTTGAGTTGGCAACTGTGGGGTCACTAATGCTAATTATGTTCAAATCTAATGAACATCTTCACCTTACTGTTTTTGTCAACAGGGTAACTGCCTATTTCTTCATTTAGACTATATTAGCTAGATTAACACTGCATAGCTCATTCTTGTTTGGCTTTCTGTACGATGAAGGCTTATTAAAGCTGGAGCCAAATTTGCAGTTGAGTTCAGGTCATAAATATAAACTCTAATTTTTCAGGAGCACAACACCAACATACTCCAGTTTCAGTGGAAATGACTCCAGTCATCAATGAGCTGCTCCTTTATTTACTCGTTTACTCTTAAAGCCCGTCCCGTCATCATCATCATCATCATCATCATCATCATCATCATTCTTTGAGGAAGGTGTTGATTATCTCTTCAGCTTCATTCAGCATATCTGCACCACATCTTATACAAATTAGTTAAAAAAAACATGTTCATCAGTTTATTGCCATGATTCTGTGTTTTCCAAACTTCAGTGAACTTGATGTGAAAACAGACAGCAGGGAGAAAGTTGTGGAGTTTAAAGGCAGCATTTCCCAAGCCTGGTCTTCAAGTCACACTGTGCTGCATGTTTTAGACATCTCCCTGCTTTAGTACCCTGATTCAGGTGAATGCAGTTCAGCAAATACCTGAAATCAGTTGGGCTGAAGAAAAGCAGCAGCTCATACATGCAGGGGGTGGAGGACCAGGGCTGAGACACACTGGCTTAGGATACCGTCACCGCTCAACATTAACCCCAATAAAAGCTGTTGTTGAAGCTTCCAATCATACCAAAATGACAACATAACACAACATCGTCAGACGTTAGCAAGCTCTAAGTTCAGAAAGTCAATGTTTGGTTTTGCAAAGCTCTAATGACTTTATTTGAGCCTCTGCTCTTCCTGTAGCATCCATTATTAATGAGCACTAATGGTCCACATGAGCCCTGAAGCTCCTATTGATTAGGTTTGTCTTACCTCTGATCTAACCACAGCTTACCACCCAGACAATGCTCAGGGTCTTAGAACTTCCAGCTGTGAAGAAGTTCAGCATGACATTTCCAGAGGAACCAATTGAGATGCTGAACATCTTTGAGGATGATGATGGCTTTGTGGCCATCATCATCCTCTCCAGAAACACGGAGGACTCTTATTGGTGAACAACAAAAGAACAAGAAGATCCTCTAAAGATGTTTGAGAGGGACAAGCAGAAGTGGACTCTTACTGGAAAGTCATTTTTGATAATACTCAGAGTCACAACAGAAAGCATAAGACTACAGTCATCAGGGGGTCCAGTCTGAGCGTCCACCTGCTACTAACTGGGGCCCTGCTCTTCCTCATGCCTCATCCTCTTCTTTAGCTGCTCTCCAATGTCCAGCAGTGGGTTCTGTTTGCCGGAGAGTATCCTGACTGCGTCGCTGAAGCGGCTGCTTTCGGTTTCCCTGTGGAAGCAGAGAACAGGTTGACCTTCAGTGACCTGGCCCTTTGTCCCTAGTCCAGTGTTTAACAAATGTTTTCAGGCTGAAGATCACTCTCCCCATTTAACAAACACTCATCTTACAACCTGAAGTCTTAACTGATGTATTGTTGTCTTCTTTGTTTGTCTTAATGACAAGTGATGCTATTTTGTAAATGTGTCTGGTCAAAACAGAACCATGAGTGAGTCCAGTCCGGGTGTTTGGAGTTATTTATAGATTCTCAAAGAGCAGATTCTAAGTTTCCCAATGATGAAAAACTCCGAAAAATTCAAATGCTGTGTGCATTACTGAAAGTTTAAAGTCAATTGTAAATTAGAAGGATCACAAAAAAAAGACATTAGTTATTATGGCAGAAACAAATATTTTCTTTTAGCCCTAAGAAAGTTAAATAATTGTTTCATATGTAGTTAGTCAGTGTGGTTAGTCAGCATGGTGTGCAGCGCTGCTCACTGCCTCGTCGCTGTCATATCTCACTCAGCACAGCGGCAGCAGAGCAGCTCCAGGTCAAGGTCAGACCTGGCCACAGTCCAGGTCTCTTCTAAAAACAAACGTTCTGCTTCTCACCCGCAAAAACAAACTGAAAAATATTCCTGCAGACATAAATTCTTCCAATCATGCAAGCAGTCAGGGTTTTGTTTTCTTTCCACCGGTATACTCAGCTTTTGAATTCAAGACACTTATTCATTCTAATTTTTAAACACAATCCTCAAGTAAGCTAACTGTACACACTTTCAGATCATGTCACAGCGAATGCAAAACCTTGCGGATCACTGGGGGCTACCGCAGTGTGAGACACACTGCCTTCATCGAATGGAAAAGCAATGCTTACAGCAGTTTACGCTTCTGGGACTGCTTCATCTGGCTGAAGTCCGTCGGCTCAGGCCTCTTCATGGGCCTGAAACAGATGAACAAAAACATGTTACAGTGACACATCTCACAACCTTCTCTTTGATTTAGCAGTGTCTGAAGACAAGTTTTGTATTTTCCTTCTGATGAACCTTCCTGCGCTTTCTTGGACCTGTCATTAACAGCTGAACAGACTAAGCTCTGAGCTGTAACTTACGTTTTGTTCTTCCTCGTCTTACGACGGGATCCCAAGGCAGCAGGGGGCCTAATGAGCTGGCAGAGCTCCGGCAGGGCGTCCACCAGCGGCCTGAGGTCTCCCACCACAGGGGTGGCCCGCCGCCGGGCCTCTGCCGCCTGCTTCTCCTTGGTCTGCCTGATGAAGCTGATCTCTGTGAGAACAGAAACAACGATGACAAGAAGAAAAACATTGACTGAACTACGGACATTTTTCAAAAGCCTACAGGTTTTCCAAAAATCTAATTCTTAAACCTCAAAATCTATAAGTTGATAAAACTGTCCAGCAATAGTTACTGTACTAAATATTCCTTTTATTTTTCTACTATATCAAATACTTATTTCATGCAAGAAAATGATAATTATTCAAAAGTCATATTATGATTAGAATTTTTTGGGTACCTATGACCTCGCCATTCTTTCTAAGTGGTGAAACTTGAAAAATCAGAGCTAGATAAAATATTTATTTTCCCAACTATATAAGCAACCACAAGAGTGCAATTTTTTTTGTTGAATTACTATAAAATTAATAAATATTTCAGTAAAACTGTTAGGTTTTCTTTTGTCCTTTCATATATTCATTCTTTGTAGACGGACCTGGAACAAGCTGTCCTTCTAATTTCTTCCCTAATTCTGGAAAAGCGTCCTCTGTGGAGCCGGGCTCGGATTTCAGCGGGTCTGAGGCAGCAGCCATTAGCACCTAATTATACGTGTGAAGAAGCTGCAGGTTGTGTTACTGAGGAATTGATCGGCTCAGCAGAAGGCTTTGGTTCCAGGCTTCATGTCAATTACTGGAGATGATGACCGCAGAGTTAGAGAGCAGCAATAATTACAGAGACAATAACGGCCGTGAATCCAAACCCACTCATGCAGCCAGCATGTGTCACATTTATGGATGGATTTTAAAGAGGAAAACAACGTTAGCACTAACAGTGCTATTTTTGAAGCTAAGAAAAAACTCTACAGATATCAGCGACCCCGATTGTTCTGACATGCAGACTGGATGTGTTGTCATACAGCAAAGTTTTGATAAATTCATTTTTCTGGAGTTTCTGAACATTAGAATAGACAATTTTCAAATGTCATTTACTGCGTCTGATTTGGACCCACAGTGAATCAGGTCCTAGGCTGAAAGGCCACTCTGAGAGGAAGAAGCCAGGACTCAAACAGCAACATAAAAACCAGATTAGTTTGCACTGATAGATCATTTAAAGGACAAATAATGTGGAAAACTTTGAATTTAAAGAAAGTCATCATTATTCTGGCATTTAGCAAATAAAACGTAGAATGGGAGCTAAAACAGAAACATGCTTTGCTTGATTTCAATCTTAAAACGTTAATGTAAATATGTGCTTTCAGCTGAATGTGGAGAAATCAAGTTTTATGAATGAAGACAGACATTAAAGCATGTGTGCTTTCAGTGAAGAACAGCAGGTCCTCAGGGTTGAAACATGTTCATCTGATGAACTTACTGCTGAGCCATCGTTCTCTTCTTTCCTTCATCTTCTCTTTCTTTGTCTTGAGTTTCTTTGTCTCTGGTCCTGTGGAAACAGAATTACAGTTACATGGTAGCACATATAAAACCTGGTTGAACAGGAGAGAATGGAGCTGACCTGCACTCAATTATCTAGATAAAGAAGGTTCAAAGTGTGGCACAGGGGCCATTTGGAGATCTGTACATCATCTTGTTTGGGCCACACATTGACCTGCAGGCAGCTGGATGCTGTAGTAATTATCTAGTGTTTTAATCACTTTTTCTTTCAATTTCAATTAAAAGTAAACAGGACTACAAACATCCAGCAACTTTTACTCAATTTAGAAAACAGACGATTAACTTAAAAACTGCCGGTGATAAAGAAGAACTGCCCTCTCTAGACGAATAATAATGTAAATATAGCATTTCATATTGGCCATTGTTGATTTTTTGAACAGAAACTGTTACACCCAAAAAAAAAAAACACTCAGTGTTCTGTTAAGTAATAATTGAGGTGCATAAAATAAAAAAAATAGTGTTAAAAAAGCTAAGCAGGTTCAGGCTAAAATGGTTCCAGTAGTTAAGTCCTCTGCACCTGCTGGGTTTTTATCTGCCACCACAGAACCAAACAACACAAGTGTTTGCAGTCAGAACAGGCAAAGATAAGCATCTGATGCTGACTACAGAAACTGGGATAGATAGGAGGGGTGGGGGGGTTTACCACCACTCTGCTCCCATGAGGAGGGTCAGCTTTCTACTGTTAGATGAAATGGATACCTGCTGTGATTCTGGCTGAATGGACACAAGGCGACCCTCCAATTGTTTCAATGGAAAAAATGACACGAATTAAAGATGCATTAAAGTCTTTAATCTGCCAATGTGCTTCATGTCTGGGTCATTTGTTTAGTTAGCCATTTAGAGGAAAGACAAAGAGGACCACCTAGAATCAGATGAGCTTTAAAAGCTCACCATATGGAGTCAAGTTTGGACTGGAGCACTCTGGACAGATCACAGGTAGACAGATTAACACTCATTTCATTAATGAAACCAAACACTGGGACTAAAGACACTTATTGGCTCTAGACGTCTTTATTGACAGTCACCAGATAAGAAATATGCCGAACCATATTTCAGAATTGTCGCTTCATCAACAACAAACAGAGAAATACCATCTGAAGTGTATAGAAGGTTCACTGGTTGCAAGATATGAAGAAAGGCTGAAATGAACTCATTTTATTTCACACTAAATGCACACAAACACCTTGACTTGTTTGGCTTCATTATGTTTCAGCATCATTTGTGTATGCTGACTTTTACAGCAGTGGTCTTCATCAGCAAACAACTTCATGTTTACTGTCTGCAGCTCTGGACTGCAAGCAAATTCAACACACATGCTGCACCTTGAGAGCTGTTTTAAGAGAGGACAATAGACATTTTGTGATAAAACTTCTATTGCACTTGCAATAGAAAAACAAGCCTCAAAGACAATAAAGACAACTGAATCCTAAAAACAAATCACTCAATAACTTTGAATCCTTCAATCCAGAAACAGAATCAAACAGTGAGTGAATCAAAGGGTGGCTTAAGAACCACTGACAGAGCAAAACAGATGATTTTATGAACCATTTCACCCTTAAAATGAACCATTTCTGCTGATTGTGATGTTGAAATGTGTGGAGTTCAGGCAAAGCCCTCAAATAGTCATAGGTTCAGTGACCAGCCTGCTGGTGCCCCCTGCTGGATTCTTCCAGTCAGACCATTCACAGGAATGAAATATTTAAATAAACCTGGATTTTAAAATGTGTTGGCTTTTTTTGTAGATATTACAGTTGGAAAAACATCTAGAAGAGCATTATTCTGTCTAAAACAAAGACTGTAATGGTTTGTTGCGATTCCTTCTTGAGGAGAAAATCTGAACGGTTTTCTGCTGCACCAGGCCCTGAGTATCAATGGCATAAAAATTCTGATCTTTTTTGACATCCAGAGAAAACTTTGTCTCTACATTATTATATCCCAAACTGGAACACAGACTGCCAAGCAAACTGTAAGACAATAACGACATTTCAATCTTCAATTTGGACTCACCGAACCAGATGTTGATGTTTGCTAATATTCTTAGACAAGCTGGACTCTTTACTGACTAGATGATTTCTGAAGATTATCAGCAGTTCTGGAGTTCTTAGGGTGACCCATTTAGGTTTGCTGAATACAAATTCAAGTCACAGATTTCAGACTTTTCTTAGGAAAAACAATGTTGAAAATGTTATGAATATGTGTAAAATCCAAAGGATTATAGTTAGGCACCAATTTGTGTTGGTCTATCACATAAAATCAGTTGTGATTTGTGGTTATAAGGAGACAGTACATTGCACACTATGTTACCAGAAGGATTCGCTCACCTGTCACCTGTCACTGAAATATGAATTTAAGTGATATATTGTCATATTGAACCCAGAGATCTTTGTGGTCCACCTTTGCAGCTCGAGCAGCTTCAACTCTTCTGGGAAGGCTCTCCACATGGATTAGGAGTGATTGTGGGAATTTTTGACCATTCTTCCAGAAACATATTTTTGATGTCACATACTGAGAAGGCCTGACTCTCAGTCTCTGCTCTGATTCATCCCAAAGCTATCTTATCGGGTTGAGGTCAGGACTCTGTGCAGGCCAGTTAAGTTCATCCACACCAGACTCTGCCATCATGTCTTTATGGACCTTGCTTTGTGCTCTGATGCACAGTCAGCTGGAAGAGGAAGGGGCCAGTTCCAATCTGTTCCCACAAAGTGGAGAGCATGGAATTGTCCAAAATATCTCAGTAAACTGAAGCATTCAGAGTTCCTTTCACTGGAAATAAGGGGCCAAGGCCAGGTCCTGGAAAACAAGCCCACACCATGATCCCTCCTCCACCAAACTTTACAGTCAGATAAGTACCATTGTCCTCATCAAACTCGACTCATCCATCAAATTGCCAGATGGAGAAGCCCGATTCATCACTCCAGAGAACATGCCTCCAGTGGCAGCCTTCCATATCACTGCATCTGATGCTTTGATAGCACTTGTTGATGTACAGCTGGGATGCAGTTGGTCACCATGGAAACCCATTTCATGAAGCTTTCTGTGCTCTGTTCCAGAGCTAATCTGAAGGCCACGTGAAGTTTGGAGGTCTTAGTGACTGACTCTGCAGAAAGTTGGGGACCTCTTTGCACAATGAGCTTCAGAATCTGCTGACCTCACACCGTCAGCTTACATGGCCTACCACTTTGAGTTGCTGTCGTTCCCAAACTCTGCCTTCTACTTATAATACAGCTGACAGTTGACTCTGGAATATTTAGGAACAAAGAGATATCATGACTGGATTTGTTGCACAGGTGGCATCCTATCACAGTTTCATGCTGGAATTGACTGAGCTCCAGAGAGAACTCAGTCAATTATTTCACAAATGTTTGTAAAAGCAGTCTGCAGGTATAGGTGCTTTGGAAGTGATTAGAGCATCTGATATCCATAATTTGCATGGGTGACAAAATACATTTGGCAATAGTGTAGTTCAGTAAGGTGCAGCAGAGCGTCAATCTTACCTGTGTTGCTGGGTTGTACTTTTGGGCGTTCCTCAAAGCTGAGTGTTTGGACCAGGGACTCTGCAGAGATCTTTGTGGCAGAAAATATCCCAGAAGGAAAGAAGCTCTGAGAAACAGCCTGGAAAAATGTAATGACATCAAAACACATTACTATCATTGTAGAGGAAAGGGATTATGATGAATGTTTGGAGGCTCCATTTTCAATAATACATTTTATTGACTAGTTTTATCCTATTTTTTGTTTTAGGCTTATAAAATCTTTTAACCAGCTGTACATTTGAGCTTTAACAGCCAACCTGGACAGTTTGATCATCAGTTCTCCAGTTCTATCAAAAGTTCAGCCACTTTCTCTGCTTATAAAGCTTTATTAATCTTATGGTCCACACTCAGACAGAACCACACATTTCCTTCCTTTTCTGAAACTACTTTATAATGTAGATGTTGTTTACTTTCTATACAACCTTCGTTGTTTGTGCACATATTAGAAGTTCATGCAATAGATTGTTAATAGATTGTATTTCCCCTTTTTCCAAACCTTGTTATACAATTTCAGCAGAATATCACTTGATGTTTCCCTAAGTTGATTTATAACAATATAAGATTTGATCTTTTCCTGGCGATGGCTTTTAAAAGCTGACATTCTGACAGATGATGTTTGACCTGTCCTTCGCCTCGGCTCGGTTCTTTGTCCTCTGGCCTCGGCGGTGTGTTGCGCGGCCCCGGCGGTGTGTTGCGGGGCCCCGGCGGTGTGTTGCGGGGCCCCGGCGGTGTGTTGTGGAGCTCTGGCGGACTTTGGGACCGCTCCGTCCCGCTGGGCTGAGTGATGATGTGGGAACCGTGGAGCTTCACGGCCTCCTGATGGAGCTTCTGACGGACATGTTTCACCTTTCCAACCATGTTAACATCTCCAGCACCTCCAGCTTTTTCTTTTGTGTCGATCAGACTTCTTGGACTTGTCGTTTCTACTCTACAACGGCGCGTTGCAGACCACGTGGGGTCTGACTGTCTGAACTATCGGAAGTTCATGTTTTACATTTTAAATGTCGCGTGTGTACTTCCTTCATACGAATATTAGCTAAATTCATTTCTGGTGGTTTCAGAGTGAATCATATTTTTACTTTACACATGTTTAGCAACACGATTTGGAAATGAGAAAGATACTAAAACCGTTACAGAAAGCACAAAAATACAAGATCTTTTATTTTGACAACAGTTAACGGAAGTGTTGTGTTGAGTTCAACCTGACGCCAATTGTGCCACGTTTTGCTCCGTCGATAGGAAACAAATTAAAAACGTTCCGCATGCCCAGCATAAAATGTTGTCACAGGGCAGAATGTGTAACACCGCTAGTACTACTACTACTACTACTGATAATAATAATAATAATAATAATAATAATAAAAGATGATGTTCTTCTTATTCCGAAGAACATTCTTGTTCTTCAGAACTTATTCTGAAGACTTTTTTTTCGGGACTTTTTAGGAAAAAGCATGTGGAACGTTTTCCATTTATGTTTTCTGATGAGATTCCAAAAGAATATTAAATTGTTTTCTTGGACCAGAAGTTCAAAGTTCTGCTAAATACAATAAGCTGAATTTACAATGTAACCTGGAACACAAAATTTGAGGTTCTTCAAAGTTTAGTTACCATATAGTTTGTCTCATGGACTTTGCCAGCATCATTAGATTGATGAAGCAGCTGCATTTAATGAAAGGCTGATTCAGACGTTTGAATTAGCTACATTGTATGAGGAATATGGAGAATTGTGATTTCTGCTTTAGGATTTGAAAGGATATTTAATTCTTTTTTTTTTTTTTTTTACATCTAATTCAGCAGCGGAATCTCACTGGACTCAGGGTCTCACTGTCACCCAGAGCAGTTTCTGAGAAACTTCAAGCCCTGTTGCATTAACCAAGATAACAGTGACATCAAATTTGATCCACCTTATAAAGAAAATAAACTATTCACTGAAAGTCTTTTATTTCTTCTTGATTTTGCTCAATGGAAATATGTCCAATACAAAACAAACAAAAAGGTTTACAGTTTGCTATAAATATTATGGTATAAATACAAAAATAAATTCACACAACTATTTATTATGTACACACCCTGAACCATGAGGACTTCCTCACTTCAGCTTCAACTCAGACCAACGTGCTTCAAAGAGAAGGTGGAAAAAGCCTGTCCACTGACACTGTGTGAGAACCTGAAGACAGGAGGAATGCAGACAGAAACATGAAGCAAGGGAGTGAATTTCCTGACTCCAATATCTGGTGGCACATTCTCCACTACAGCACAATAAACATGAACAGCAAAAAAGCACATGGATTCAGTCGCTAACAACCCAACACACATACATACTCACACACGCACACACACACTATAAGACGGAGAGCAGTCATCCTTGCATCAGGTCTTTAGAATCTCTTCACATTTGGCATAAAATTTCAATTCACTTCAAATAAGAATATTGCAAAACTAACATTTAATCTAATGCTTTATGAGACAAATATAAATGGACTCCCATTATTAAATAAAATGTGGAAAGCTGTTCTTTGCAGAAGATTCTTCTTTCAGGTCATTCCAGATCTGTGATCCTGACATGAACGAACAAGGATGAGGGAGAAATCCTGGTTCCATCTCTGGACAGAAGGTGAATGTGACGATAACCTAAAGAACACAAAACCAAACCATGGACGTTAGGTACCAGGAGTGGAAACAGCTGTTTGTCTGACAGAAACACTTCAGTTGTTTTAAAAATCCAACTTCAGGAAGAATAACTGCGTCTAATAATCCTTCAGGCGGACAGTGCTCTGTCTACTTTATTATTCTCTGTTGGAAATCCTTTTCATGACCAAATACTGGCAAAACTGGTGGAAAAATAACATTGGAATTTTTCATACAACAACACATTTGATGGTAACCTCTCCTCCTTTTGTTCTTCAATTTAAGAGGAAGGTTAGAACAAGGTGATTAAAAAGATTGACCTTTTTGCATGCAGCTGAGTGGGAGTGTAAATTGCCCCACAAAGTCGTTTTTGGATGTCTTGTCGTAGTCTTCCACCACAAAGCGGACCAGAGCCAGTTCTGGTGTGTGGATGGTGAAGCGCAGAGTATCATTCCACAGGGGATTAAATCCTGGAAAACAAATCAACTGGTATATTTTGCAACACATATCACTCAGCTTGTGAGGAACAAAAGTCTCATTAGAAAAACAGAACCTAATAAAAGTATTCTCATCTATTCTGTTTAGACCTTTTGTTGGATAAAAAGCAAAAACTTCAATGATTTTCATGTCTCCAACCAATATAAATTGGAAAGAACTTGATACGAGATTTTCTACTATTATTTAACCAAAGCAATGTGTAATTAGTTCCCTTTACAATAATACCTTGGAGCAAAATCCAACCAATTACCCCCAGTCATCAACTATAGTGAACAGAGTCCATGTGCGATGTAATCTGAATATAAATCCTCTTGTCCTTTAAGGCCTCAGAGGTACAAAGCATGGCTTAATCAAAGTCCAGACTTAACTTCAACGGAGAAACTGTGGCTAGAATTGAAAACTGATGATTACAGACGTTTTCTATACATGAGCCACTTTCATTCCAGTTATAATTATGGACTGCTTTGTGATGTTCTATCACATATTAAGAGTGAAACACAAACTGTGAAAAAGTCCATAGAATTTGAAGAACTTTACAGGATTTTGCGTTGCGAGTCTAATGAAAATTGTTTTGTTTTCTTGTCTGTTTTGTTTTTTACTTATTTTCCAATTAGTTTAATGTAGGAGAAGCTCCTATCAGAAAAGTTTGCTCAAGACATATATATTCTTTTCCTTTCTGTTTTTTATAACATGTTCTTAAGAAATATACAATGTTGTATTATTTTAACAAAAACTTAATTCTGAATTTCTAGCAGTAGGGTCACTGGAATATGAACAGTGCAGAGCTCAACATGTCATACCATTGTTTTCAATGTGTCTGGTTTCCTGTTTGGCCTGGTCCATCAGAACTCCATGGATCTCCACTCTGACTAGAGGATCCACTATAGAATCCTCTTTGATGTTGACTTTAGGCAACTGCTGGCCACTTATCACCTTTATGAGAGGGCAGTAAAACACATGCAGTCAATGCAGGATTCTGTGCAGCCCATGAAGCCAACTCCAGAGAACAAAAATCATACCTGAATGGTGAGGACGATGGGTTGGTAGTCATCTCGTTTCTGAGGCAGCTCCGGGTCAAACCTGTCAGCTTTGTCTCTCATGAAGGCTGGCTTCAGGACGTAGCCACAGCGGCCATTCTGACTGAACAGACCATCATTTAAATCCATCCCCTCTCCAGCTGTCTGGAAATTCAGTGCAACTGGATGGACAAGTGGTGAAATGTACAATGTTACTCATTCTAATTCCCAGTAGATCACATAAAGCTGATCCAGACCGAACACAAGGTGGAACTGGGCTGTCATGACCAACATTTTTGAGAAATTCTGATTTGTTCCCCCCAAAATCAGTGAGTGTTGTTGTTTGTAGATATATTTACAAGATATTGCTTTTTAATGATGAAGTTCCTTAATTAAAAAATGATGATTCAAAGTACAGCTGGATGATATTGCCCACAATAATCAGGATGTAGTTTGTATTTAACACCAGACATAATATTTGTACTACAATGTTAAAAAATGTGTGGTTCATAACTAGAACGATGTTTAACCTTAAATCCAGCTGTAAACTCAAACTCCAATCCTGAAACACATTTTGCAGCTGTTTTCTACAAAAATACACTACAACCATATGAGACAAATACAAATCCCTCTGACTAATCATTAGACCATGCAAAAGTGACAAGACCCACAAATTTATTGGCAAAGAACACACAAAAACTGAACAAAAGCAGTTGACAGTATAATAGCACACAAACAACCTAAGCATTGAAACAATGTTCATGAACCAGTGGGAGGAAGAACAGCCATGTAAATACACAGATTCTTTTCAAATGTAAAATTGACTCATAACAATGTGGCCAGAAACCTAAGTAAACTATTCATATCTAGGACTATCATATTTCAGAGTGTGATATACTTATTATATCACCCAGCACTATTTCACAGGGTTGTATTGAGATTGTACATTAAGTTAGTGAAAAGTGCTAAATGGACGTCACTTCAACTAAAATCAGGAAAGCTTCCTAACATGGATCTTCAAAGTTTTGATCCCTGAGACACTAGATCATCACTTTGGTCTTGTCCCTCATTGCTTCATCATGTTGAAAGAAATTCAGTTGATTAACACCAAATCCTTGCTGGAATGCTGGCAAGTTCACACAGAGTTCTCAGGCATTTATAGAGAAACAGTTGATGTTGGTCTGGGACTGCAAGACAGTTTGAAAAGAAGGTCAAAGGTCAGAATGCAAAGTCAGTAGTCAGACTTTTCACCTTGTTGGTAAGGTCTGTGCATCCAGTTTGAAGTCAACATTTTGGCTAATAAAAACCAAGTTTGGGAAAGAGAGCTCTCTTTTGAGTGTGTTTTCAAGTTTTATGGTGGTTAAAACTCTGATGATTCAACAGGGACTTAAAGGGATCCACTATTAGTTGTAACAATAGATTTATTTCAGAAATATTTATTTTAGATGTGAAAACAATACAGTCATATTGTAGGCTGTTTAGTTTTGATTAATTTTAATAAAATATTGTCACACCAACATTATCATGTAGTGTACACAGCAATGTGTTCTGTGCAAATGACTTCTACTTAACCAAGTAGAAGTCCAGTTGGCTGGACGCTAACTCCGTCCAGCCAAAACAGCAATGAGTAATGTCATGAAACCTTTTCAAATTGAACCAGAGCACACTGCAACCGACAGAAATGTAGAAATCACAAGATGAAGATGAAGAGGACCAAACGGAGGAAGAGGAAAGTGTTGGCAGAAGTAGTTGGTGTTTGTCACCTTCAGCTTCATAAATGACACAATGAATCATAAAATGAAACCATGAACGGCACAAACCTCTGATCGGACTGTGATCGAGTAAGTTCTACATACCGTCTGGTGTATGTAGCTGTTTATGGGTAAAATGGTAAATGGACTGAACTTATGTAGCGCTTTTCCGGTCATTTTGATCACTCAAAGCGCTTTACACTAGAGTCACA